CTTGCAGCTACATAGACAGCACCTGAGATTCCAACTAAATAGGCAAATCATTCAATGTGAAACACAATTTATAGTGGGAAATTCAGATACTCTATAGTGTGAGAGGTTCCACTTTCTTCATTTCTTGTCTTCCTGGGCCCATCTTATATTGTGACAGGGGGATAACCCAATTATGTATGGATAGGCCTGTCCATTTGTGGTGAGCTATCTATGATTTGACAGATTGGCCCATCTTATGCAGTGCCAAGGGTTTGTAATCCTGCAATGGACAGATCAGCCTGTCTTATGTTGCAACACTGGTTTTTGTTTTCCCTTATCTGCTGCCTGAGAATACCATGGATGGGCCTGTCCTTATGTAGATCCCTTTGATCTCCCTTTCTGCTGCCTGAGAATGCCTTACATGGACCATCCTTATGTAGATAGCTTGGATCTCCCTTTCTGCTGCCTAAGAATACCATACACAAACTTGTCCTTATGTTGCAACAGGGTTGCATCTTGCTAGATGGGCCCATCCATTTGTTGTGATGATATACATGATACTACTGAAGGGCCTGTCCTTATGTTGTGATGCTATTAGATGATATTACTGATGGGCCCATCCATATGTTGTGACAATAGAAACAATACTACTGAAGGGCCTGTCCTTATGTTGTGATGCTATTAAACAGCATTACTGATGGGCCCATCTTTATGTTTTGACAGGGTACATCTTACTGGGGCTGGGCCCACCCATATGTTGTGATGCTATACATGAGATTACTGATGGGCCTGTCTTCATGTCTCATCAGAGGTACATCTTACTGTGGATGGGCCTGTCCATATGTTGCATAATACTACTGACAGGCCTGACCTTATGTTGTGACTCTATTAAATGATACTAGTGATGTGCCTGTCTTTATGTTTCAACAGCAGTACATCTTACTGTTAACAGGCCCATCCATATGTTGCCAACTTTGTATTCTAATCATAGATGGGCCTGTCCTTATGTTGTGACCCTCTCCATGTTATGATAGGTGGGCCCACCTTGATGTTGCAACAGGGGGGTAACCTACCAGGATGGGCCCATCCATGTCTTACAGCAACTCAGTATACTTAATTGGTCACAGGCCCACCTAAATGTTTCAACATCCTTACCCACTGTGGGCCCTCCCATATGTTGTGGTAATGCACTTACAGGCCCATACATATGTTGCTCTCACTTTAGTCTCTTGGGCCTGTCCATGTGTACTGGCTAATCTATTTAGAAGGGCCTGTCTTGGGGTCTATATGAGCATTGATGTTTTGGCACACAGGCTGCCCATGTGTTGTGACTAAATGTGACTACACTATGTGGGTTGTGGTGATGCATTGGTCATGGAGGATTGCCTAATGACAGACAGCTGGGCTATATGAGATGCACTGTGATTTCTGGGAGTAGGCAGCATGCAAGGGGCAGAAGAAACAGTAGCTGGTGATTCTGTGTGCACACTGGGGAGAGGTGGTAGGATGGATCCAATGTTCTTGCCATACAGTTCTTGATCCTGAGCAATGATCGAGTTGAAAAACCTACAAGTATATAAATATCAGTCACCAATAACAAGCTTGAGCTACTTACTTGTGCCATTTATCATTCTTCATGTCCTTTCCAAGCCAGTCAAGATCCTTTGAAAACATGCAGTCGATTATGCTCCAGAAGTCATAACCTGTTTTGACTCTGCCAGGGGGGGCCTTGTTACTTACTGTCCTGACATGTTTCACAGGTGGTTCATTTGTGGACCCTTTGGCACTTGCTTGTGTGGCCCCTTCACCACCACTCTCCAAGTCACTATCATCACTCATGGTTCTCCCCACAACATATTGATGGGCCCTCCCATAATAATGCTGCAAGCTTGATTGGTCAGTAAAGGTTGAGAAAAGAGTCTTGTGTGACATACCAGGAAGGCAAAGTGTAGCTGATACTCAGCCTTTCGAACTTGAACCTACACCACCATGTTTGTATTTGCTGAGTACCATCCATGTAAGTTCTTCCAGCATCATGCACATCTTCCCTTCCTCCTGGCCAGTACTGTCCAGAAGCTGTGTAGGCAGTCAATAGAAAACATGATGCATTTTCATCATGATGGAGCACCCACCAGTGTGTGGAACTTGTTTCAAATGGCACTGCACTCCTTTTTGATGGCCACATGAAGCACACATTCATTTGCAGGGTTGTTGAATACATTCAGAAATCCTAACAAGTTGGCATGCAATTTGAGTCATTCCTGTACATACATGTGAGTGGTTTGTAAGAGATGGCATGTGCTGGGACATGCCTCAACATCAACATGAAGGGTCTTGTACTTGGTTTGGCCTGCTTGTATGGGCATATCTTTGCATACAATCAAAATTTGCATCTGGTGTTGCTATTCAGCATGCACCATAATGAAATCAGTAAATGACAAACCATCTGGTCAACATTAAGTTGGAACCCACTTTGGAGCCCTGCCATGGCCATCTCCACAGCATTCTTCATATTTGCTGAGTCAGTCTTGATCTCCTCGATCCCATTTAACACCCTGTAGTTGGTCGCCTGCTGCCAGATTCACAGGCAAAGGTCACCAGTCTGCAAGGTCTTGCTGACCTGGGCATGCAGACAAATATCAGTATGAACATTAATCATCAAACACAGCACTTACATCAATGAGCATGCTGAGCTCTAAGAACTGAGATGCCTTGAGTTCAAACTTGGTTGCGACTTTCTGCACCCACAGCTTCAGCCACTTGACCTCCAGAAGCTCAATTCCCCTGTCAACATTGTCAGACATGGAGGATGTGTGTGTGTGAGCAGGGGTTGTTGGAGCATCCCTGACACCACTGCCATATGAAAACTGGCTTTGGAACTCATTGTCAGATGCCCTTGACATTGGATGCAACACATCAGAACCTGGAAGACCAGGTGACACATCAGATGCATCAGGAGTCATCACATGTGTTGCATTCAAGACATTGGGAGTCACCTGAGACATGTCAGTCATGTGCAATGTGGTCACCTGTGAAAGGCATGGTGTTCCTTGACATGTGGGTTGAATCTTCTATCTTGACCAATTACACAAAGGTTACCTGTCATGCTCCAATGCGAACCTGAGCTCTGGTGTTGGGAAGCTTTTTCCCAGATCTTCAAAGGCAAGATAGTGGCCATATTGATTGTGCTGCTGTGACATGGACTGATCTGTATGAGAACTTGATTGCAAGGGTTAGAAAAAAAAGAAGGGGGATGACTCATCTTATATGAGGTCCAGGTATTGGGGCCTAACCAAACAGTGTCATCTGTTAAAAAAATTGCACTGTCAACAATTTCTGAGAGGTTGATTGACACTCACCATGCAATATTGAGTCACATGTAATGCACAGTCATGAGGAATCTGCATCTCACAGTCAAATGTGTGGATTGACCAGTGAAGATGTATGGACTTACCAGTCTGATGGAACACATTGATAAAGCATGTCGGTACTGCCTGGGACATGCTTCTAGGAGGTTGTTTTGTAGTGTTGGCTCACAAGGCTTTCAGCATCTTGATTTTCTGTGCATTGAACTCAGCAGCTGCACCAGTGTGGATTGCCCAATCACAATCCAACTGTTGTACTGGAGTGTGGAACCATTGCACATGAGAGGCATCACACATCTGTGCAGTGTTCAGTATAAGGTCCAAGGGTTTATGGTGCTCAATCCATTTCACAGTCTTCATCATTTTCTCATGTTCTTTGTAGACCAATACTGTAGATGAACCAGTGCATCCATGTCCTGCACAATTGTGCTGGACATTGACACAACAGATAACAGCCTGGAATGAAGCATGATCAGAACAAAGTCCATACAAAAAAAAGCCCACTTACTGTCACTGGTAACATGACCCAACCCAGTGGCTGAATGCATGGCAGGTGATAGATATCTGTGGAGCCAGTCACTTTGAACATCTTGAGTAATAGCCAGTTCACTTGATTGCACTGTTGGGCTGGTGAGTGACAAATCTGAAGAATTTCATGAAGAGATCTGATGAGGGGGAGTTTGTGGCCAGCAGCATGAGGCTCTCATGCAAGGACAAAGTCTCCAAGGTGGCATATTTCACCATTTGTTGCAATGATGGAGTGACAAGTTTGATAAAGATGACATTTGACCCAAGGCAGTGCATATGGGACCCATAATGCCATATTTGTCTTCTCAAGTGGCCATGGATGTGTCTTGTCATGCACACATGAACCTGGCATGCAAATGATATCACTAAGTTTGTGTATTCCACAGAAGCATGATTGACTCACCAGCTTCAAGGGGATCTCTATCATCTGTGAGCCTGAAGTAATCTGCAATGATGTTGCAGAACATTGGGATGTCAAAGGCTGGTCAGTGACTTGACCCCAGAGCCAGGCACCAGCCACTCATGCTCATTATCGCTGTAGGGGAGTTCAGTGAGTCCTCAAGCATGGAATTTACCACTGGACAAAAGATGGCAGACACAATTACATCATGCCATTCCACAGGCAATGTCTCAGGAAGGCACTTGTCTGTTGCTGTGAATACTGTGGTCATGGATCATGGCATTGTAAGATTCAAACCCTTCTGTAGCAAATAGGATTGCAGGACCAAAATGCTGGATGTGGTCAGGGAGGTGCTGAAGAATGTGAAACTTTGGCTTATTGAACCATTGTGGCATCCAGTGGGCTGTGCAGTTGAGGAAGTGGTCAATTGCAGCACACAAGTCAGCCTAAAAGTACATTAGTTGTGCTTGGTCTTAGCAAAAAGTTGATGTATGACATACCAGGTGCCTGTTGATGTTGTCAATGCATGGTTGCCAAACAAGGGGGACCAGAGATGATAGCACCAGAAATGCTTCATAGCACTCATGCAGAACAAGGTCATAGAGTACAAAGGGTGCTGCTTGGCATATGGCATGGAAATCATGTCCAGTGAGAGACCCAGCATATTGAATGAATGTTTGGGCTGCCAATGGAGGGACGCCAAGTCCTGAGGTATCAAATGATGCCAATCAAACCTGGAGCTCTGCTTTTTGATCATCATTCATCCTGGAGATGGCATCATGCCAGAAATACTTCATGAATCTGAGTAAGATGAGATGCAGGACTTCCACAGGGGTGTCTTGATGGGGATCAAGGCCTGAAGTTGAGTAAGTGAGTGATGAAATGATGTGACCAATGCAGAGGATTCTTACCTTTGATCCTCCAAACAGGACTCATGAATTCTTCCACTGAATGGCCTTGCATAATTGCATTGACAGTGTCAGTAAATCCATCCATTCCCACATGAATGCCTTTGACACACTTGAGGATCTGCTTGACAAACATGTCCATGTATGTATCTTTAATGCCTGTGTCAGTCTTCATTTTCACATATCATGTCTTGCCCATGCTGCTGGTGACTTCATGGAACATGCTACAGAGTTTCTCCACTGTGTATTGCCAGGTGCAAGTGTGTTGGCCTTGAGCATGTTGAGACATCAGTATACCTTAACCTAACAAATTGTATACTTACTCCAAGGAAATGCCTTGCTCAATTGACAAGACCTTGCATTGTCTCCAAGCAGCAGCCCTTGCCTTTCAGCTGTTGTGTGACACCCTCATGAGTGGACCTGTCCAAGTCAGTCATGTGTGATGCAGTTTCAATGGAACAAGTGTTGTCATCTGGTTGCAGTGCCTGTGGGTGTTCACTTGATTCTGCCCCTACCCCTTGCACCCAGCAATTGTGACAAAAAAATTTACCCTGCAGACCAACATGGCATGCAAGTTCACTCTGCATCAGATTGTCACTGAGCATCACCAGGACAGCAGGGATCATGAGAACCATCTCCCTTGCTTCTATGTCCCAAGCCCAAATGCCATGCATTTGTGCATGTCTGTAGCACAATGTGGTGAAAGCCTGACATGGTCAGAAGGGTTGAAATAAACTTACTTGAGTTGGGCCACAATACCATCAAGCATTTCTAGGGGGGGAGTGATGTTAGATGCAGCAAGGAAATGGATGTTGCTCTCTTTGTGGACCAGAGCATGTGGGAGACCAGCTGCAGTGAAGAGAAACAAGTTGTGTTTGTTCTACTTCTTCGACATATTGCCAGAGGTGTCATCACAATAAAGCCATATCATGTAACTGAGGACATGGTGCCCCTTCATGCATGCATGCCATATATTCCCAACCACAGGATCAGTCAACATCCATGGGAGGACACCATGTCCTCTTGTCTCTATCAAACCTAATGCACACTGAGTCTGAAATGAACAGAGGGGAAGGATGGGTGCCATACACACCTATGATATTGCATGGGTTGGGTTGACTGTCGATCTGATGTGTTTGAAGCAAGTGTGGAAATGAGAGGAGAAGACTGCTCACCAGCACCTCAATGGTATCATATGTGTGTATAACATATCCACATGTGTGACCACTCATGATGGAGTGAGCTCACCATGTGCAGGCCCAATACTTGAGCTCAAAGGGAGGAGAAGTTAGTAATGCAGAGGGTTTTGTATACCAGCACTTGGGAACAACCATTGTGCCATCCATCAACTTTGCCAGCTCAAACACATAAAAATCTTGATGGCCTTTGTGATTCATAGGTGTGGCAACAGTGGGATCAATCTCATACAGCCACCTCGTCGCTTGCCATGGCTGGTCGAGTTGCCCCCCAGCATCTTCAGGGTAATGGCAGATATGTGGGCAGACACATGGGTTCACCATTTCCTGCAAGGGTGCACTGTTATCAGTTAACGAATCACAAGCTAAAAAATGAACTTACTTGTGCAATGATAGAAGGCAGGTGGTTGACATAATAGATATGGCCAAGCACACCTTGATAACAGACTGATGGAATCCCATATTGGGCCTGGAGGGAATTGTCAATATCTTTGAGCATCTTTGTGGAGGGAACATTATCAACTCCAAGGATTGCAAGTCCCCAGAGGATGACCTGAAGTTGCACATCTGAAAATAACAAACACAGGAGGTGCTGTAGAATATCAAGTATGCATGTCTGTCAATCAAGTGAAATGATGCTCTCATTATATATGAAATGACATACCTGTTTATCAGGGCCATGGGAACCATGCAGGATTTGCAGGTGCAGCATCACCTGCACACTGAGATGAGCATGTCACACCTGGCTGAAGTGGCTCTGTGGAAGGATCAGTGCATTCAATAACCTGTGACAAGTGTATATCGCTTCTTACCTGGACAATATTCTTCACCTTTGACATTGGGGGAGTTGGACACATCTTCATCAGAGGAGATTGCATCATCACCATCAGCCAACCATGCAGCCAAGCTGCTGGCCATCATTGTTAGTTGCTCATCATGTGCAGATGGTAAATAGAGCTGTTCATGGTCAATGGCATCCCAGTCAAGTTGAAAACTACCATCATTATTAGAGGGAGTAGCCACCCATGGCATGCCATGAGGAGGGGATCCTGATTCTGAGAAATCTGCTAAAAGGTTAAGCAGGGGCAAGGTCAGGTCAGGTCAGGGTGGGGAACTCAAAGGGCAAAGATGAGGGGATAGAAGGTGGCCAACATTCTCTTGATGGAGGGTGGTTTTCTCATGTCATCAAGCAGAACAGACATCTCACCACTTGTCATCCTTGCAGGCAAGGCATGACCACTTGTACTGGTTGTGACCAATGCCTGTTGCCCAGACTGTTCACATCATTTGTGGAGTCAATGCATTGGCAATGCCAATGTGACATGGAGGCCAAGGCTTAGATGTAGTAACCCAAAGTAATCCAGAGTTAGGGGTGGGACTTACACTTGGGATGTGCAAACTCTTCAGTCATTGCTATAATATGACAGTGAGAGTTGAACTTTGCAAAAAAAAAGTACATTAAGCACTGCTTCCAAATGTCAAGATGCATTTCACTTGCATCCACTACAGTTTCAAAAAAAAAAGTCTTTAAGATTGTGTCTAGCCCAAACCATAGTGAAAATGCTATCCAACCTAATCAGGACTGTGTCAAACTCATGTTTCACATGATGCAGTTCCACCTATTTCTCAGACTTAGTTTGTTTGTGTCACAAGAGTGGCCATGTAGATCCCCATAATTCACATGCAAGATTTCAATGTCTAAAGATCATATACCACTCACTGTCAACTCCTCTGTCTCTGCAGCATCTCCCCACCCTCATTTGCAAGTACACATCATGGCAGCACATTGGCATCAAGCTTGGACAGGCTAATCCTACAATCCTACATAATTATATGCCTACAATTCATTGCCACCATGATTTGAATTGGACTATGTTTTTGGGAGGATCACAGTTGCTGAAAAATGTGTGACAAATTTCAAGGTGATATCTCCTTGAGGTCTTGCACATGCAGCATACATTTATAAGGGTAACAATGGTGATACAGCCAAATTCTATGTTACTGTGGGATGCCTGGTATTTATTAATTTATTGATGGAATCTTCGATAAAAAGGCATCAAACACGTCCTTGTCTGGTTGCTCCTCAAGATTACGGTCGAGTTCCACAATTGTCTTCTCTGCAACCTGCCTAGCAGTCTCTGAAGGTGCATCTTCCAGATCTAACTGAGCAAGCTCTTTATCCCCCTTGAAATCATCACGAGTGTGGAGTCTCTTCCAAAGAAAGATCGCCAGTCTCAACACAAGATTGTAGTTGTTGATGTTGTCAGGCACTTTAGGGTAAGCCAGAAAATACCTCTTCTCTTTAGCACATCCACGGGCATCAACTTTGGCCCATGAACACAGGAATCCTCCTTTTAGCAACTCGCCATCCTTGTACTTCAGGGAAATCCAGATGAATACACAGATCAACGATCCATATCATGGCGGTATGGGTGCTCCACTCTGCCATCCTGGCCATTTTTCTCGAAGAGATCAATCGCCATGAATGGTATCGTTCCAGTCGGCTCGTTACCAGATGGGTTGGCAGAACTTGCTAAAGATGAAAGGTCATAATCATTTAAGACGCCCATCACCTTGCCGTCCACCCTATAGTACATCAGGTTTCCAGAGCTCACGATGATGGATCCCCTCCCTCCAGAGGGCATAGTGACCTAGAATAGAATGACTGTCAGAACCAAGACACCGCAAAAACAAAGCGGGGGCTTACACAAAACACACTGCCACCATGCATCGACCAGTTCATCACCTTGGAGCTCTTTGATTGGCAAAAGCTTCTTGAATACAAGCAGGACGAGCCTCCAGCTGCCTTTCTCAGGGTTCTTGAGGCCAAGAGCACGCCTAATTGTAGATGTGGAAACCAGAAACCTCTTCGACAAGAGCAAAATCGGCACATGTCCTCGGACATCCTCGAATTTCTTCCCAGCTTCCTTGACACGTTCCAAAATTTCATCCACTGTGATTCATGCCTCCTCCGTCCAGTAAATTTTCACCACCATGCCGTCGACCATGTCCGCTGGCTTCTCCTGCTTTAGTGCCTCACAGTTGACGTCCATAACACGAGTCCCTCGTCCTGCCAGCCGCAGTCTGATGTCTCTCTCCCTGTTGTCCAGTTTCAGCGTTCTTCCGTCGACCTTGATAGTGTGAGGCTGCAATGTGGTCGCCTTCCAGATGCAGTTTAAAGGCTGTGTTTCGATCCCAGTCCTCCAAATTGAATCGCTGGAGAGCATATAACAACACCAGAAAGCGAGGGAGATCTTGAACAAAATTGAACCCTGCCACACTGATGAGGCCTTGGTGGTTGTAATACCAAATCCAAACGTTGTCGCCTGAAAAGCGTCCAGCGCAATCCACTCACTAGTGAGAAAAAATACGCACTTATAACAATACAATTGAAGGCATGCTTCGCCGCAATATTGGCGGACTGTATCTCAGCAGCATACAGCACTGTCTGAATTGTTACGTGTGCCCCGGGCTCCTCCGTCCTAGGTCGCTTGCTCATGCGAGACTCAGAATCAGCCCCCAACGTGCGTTTCCTGGATGCCATTTGAGTGCTTTCCTGAGTGGTCTTGCGAGCTGATCTGCGTACTATTGGCTGCATGTTAAGCCTGACCAAGCAGTGTAGTTCCATTACTTACGCGGAGCCTGTTCTACGAGTGTCGCTCGCTCAGCAACAGGAGCCTCTTGCAACTCTGATTTGTCAAGTTCATTTCCATCTTTTCCAACCTTCAAAAACTTTGGTTTGGAAGCTCAGTACTTTGACACGAAGTATTCCTTGGGAGGAGACCTCATTTCCGACTTGGATCGCTTCAACTCGAAGACACTGAGCACATCCTTCCACGAGCTCACCGTGGGTGTCTTATCTTGGCCTATCATCAATACATGCTCAGTCCCAGCTGCTGAGTCTAGCATCTGTAAAATACTCGGAGTAGTTTGCGAATGGAAGAACGATGATATCTGGTTTGCGTCTCGAATTATGCCCTTCAAAGAACATCTGTACTTCCTTGCTTTCCTCTTCACGCATACCATCGATCTTCAGCCTCTTCAGGTGCACAAGAGCAGTGTTGGACGCCAGGACGAAGGACTGGTACAAGTCATCCTCCTGTTTACACGCCGTGCTGGTATAAGATGTTAGCAGAGAACACTGGCATGAACACCAGCATGCAAGTCATGAAACTTACTACTCTATGAGAGCCTTCCTGATATCTGAGACCGGGAATCCCTTGATATCTTGGGTGTGCCCATTACATATGGGCAGAACTTTGTTGATGCATCTGTCTAATAGAACATGGCTATTCAAGTCGATAAGGTCATCTGACGTCTTCGAAGCCCGCCTCAATATGTACTCGAGCATGTCATCTGCCCCGCATTGTTGTGCTTTGCAGACGTCTTCCGCAATCGAAGGCATCAGATCGTTAATACTTGATTAGTGTCATGAATCAGGTTTATTTCGATGAGGACGGAAGTGGACGAACGCACGGAACGCTGTCGATATCGAGGTATCCGCTCTCCGAAGAGAGGCCTTGGTTGCTTGGAGTCAATTTGAAGTAGGTTTGTCGCAAATTTCTTGGGCACGTGATAAGAACCTTATAATACATGTTAAGGGTGGCTGTTCACACTTCCAGTTATAAGCCATGCCAATGCCACCCATGTGTCATTGAAAGATTGCCAAAAATGGGTATTTGTACATAATATTTTACACATTTGCACTATATCTTAGATAAAATATCACATATTTGCTATAATCTAGCCAAACCTGACCATTATAATGGCAAGTGGTCCATTACACGCTGCTTACAATGGGGGCACGTGACAATGGACCAAATAAATTTGCGACATTGGCATCTGGAGCGGTGCGTGCGCGTGGCGGGGGAAGACCTTCCACTGCTGCGACGCCAGGATCAGACATGGTCACTGGCAGGTAAAGATTCGCATTAAATGGGCACTAGCGTTGTGTCGTGATGGGAGCCTGGAGGTTGAACGTTAAACGTTGAGTACTGAGTGGCAAGAGTCGTGCCATGCTCGTCACTGTCTGCAGATGCACGGGTAGCCCGCTGACTAAGCGGAGGGATGCGCGTGCAGAGAGTGAGGGTCGGGCAACTTGTGGGCTGCAGTGTGGACAAAGAACACTATCATGCTAAGGAACGTCGTGCAGACTAGTTGGAGCCACATAATTGGATGTGTGCATGTCGTGGACAGTGGCGTGCGCCACTTGTGTGTCAACGGCGGTGCCGTGAGTTACGAGTTTATACGACGGGAGTACGCTTTTGAGCGCGTTATGTTGCAGCTTGACTTCAGTGATCGGTCGGTATACCCTAGACTCGGGTCGTTGTTTGGTATGTTGCACTAGCTCAGTTCGTGACACCAGTTACATCATCTACCACCCAGCGTAACAAACCATTCTCCCTAAACTTCTCAGGGTGTGACAGCGCACCTCAGCGCATCCTCCGACAGTAGACTCGCCCTCGCTCAACACGTATGTCTACATTGGCAATGTCGTAAAAGGGCGGAGACCCCCTCTAGAGCAGCAAATTTTGTCAGAACACGCACTGTGGACTGGCCCGAGGCCATTTGGCTTGTGGACGGTCGTAGCCGGCACCCGCAGTCACTACCTATTGGACGAGGACACCGTTGAGGCGATGGTACGGGCGGTCACTATGTGCATTCACATTGTTGTAGACGAGACATGAATTCTTCCGCGGTTTCCTTGTTATCATTCGTGCGGTGATCAATTGCTCTTGGCTTCCCTCCTAGCAAAGGAAAGGCCTCCCAGTTTTCGGTAGGCTTTTTAATGACAGAAGTTTCAGATGAGAAATGACATTATCTCCGAGCTTCAACGAAGAAACGCACGTCATCTCCACTACCAGATACTAGCCTCACGCAAACTAGTATGTGCTGAAGATCGGACAGCAAATAGTCCGCTTTGCAAGTATTCTAATGCGGTAATGATGCAGGACTCTTCCTGAGTTATGAACTTGGCATATGAATCAGTATGACGGCCGCCGCCGGACCATCCTGATGTCAGGACTTCACATCTCTGCATACTACATCTCTGCAGACCATGTCAATAATGTCTGTACATCGACCTTTTCTTTGGACTGGAAGCATCCAGGAGCATCCAGAGGGCTTTTGGTATTATTATGCATCGTTAGCCTTCCCCTTTCGTACTGTATACCAGGCATCCTTCCGACGACCCGGCAAGCTTACTGGGGGTTCGCGATGCACGAGGAAATGGCTTTGCTATCATCATATGATACGAAAATAACTACAGGTCCCAGGAGATTTTGCGTTGATCTTCTACCGACAAGCTCCTTAGTTTGTGCCCTTATTAGTGTCGAGTTTTCCGCCTGCGAGTGTCTCCTCCAAGAGGTCCAAAGCAATTGACGCCGATCCCCAAGAGGATTGGAAGCCCATACCAGCGTGCCTGCACAGAATCGGAGATTCAGAAGCATCAGCAGCAGCGTGTGTTAACTTACCCATAATTGTATACAACCGGAATTTTGGTCTGGGGACTGGCTTCGAACCATTCCGCCTCCAGTCGAATTCCACCCTTCCTACCAGGACGAAGACCACAGCCTTCCTCTACGATAAGGGGTCGAAGATCGTCTATCGTTGGCATCCGTTCCGCGCGGACTTCCGGCGGTGCAAGTTCAGGACATATGGCGAGAACTCCTGCCAATACATAGCTTCTGTCTTCCTCTCGGGGTACGGGGAACCTGCAAAGGAGAATGGTGATAATCGAAAAGTAGATGTCCGTGTCAGCAGGAGATTTACCAGTCGTTTGCCACTCTGATTCCTCCCACCAGGACCTACATGAGAGAATGTTACTTGGCTTCTTCCATGGTAGCTTTGGATCACACTCACATCACCAGTGACTCTAGGCATCATGTAGAAGTATGATCCGTCCGCACATGACAGTGTTCTGCCATACTTCACCCATGGTGCCCTCAGAGCGATAGTTTGTCCGCGAACGGGGTAGACTTCCTTGTCTTCGATACCTCCGAGGAAGCGGGCTCCGAGACCAACACAGGCAACTATAGCATCAGGTTTCTGAGGCAAGCCACTGATACCGCCTTGCATCGCCTGGCTAATGTGCTGTAACTGTGCACGTACAATCGTACCTCCGTCGGTTAAGAAGCGGTTCAGGAGCCAATTGAGGTATACAGGTGGGTACAAGGTGAAGGTGGTGAAGGTCCAACCGTGGGTCGCTCCGGGAACAAGTTCGTTATTAGAAACGGATCTGAACTACAGCGGAAATAGCGTCAAAACCATTAAGCAGTGCTGCAAAATGACTCACTTCTGGCATGTAATCAAGCCATTCTGTAGGGTCCACTCCGTCAGATCTGAATTCTGTGTGGTAATGTCGAAGGAAACATCCTTGTATTGGTCTGCCATGTGCCGAATCTTTCCACATGATCTCAAAGGTCTCCTTATCCATCTCTAAGACTGCAGTTAAATCTCGATTGTCAAATCTCTTCGGAAAGAAAGGTCACCTCGTTGACGCTTATCATCAAAAGCCGCACTGACATGATGTGCACCCTGGCTAAATATGTTAGTAACTCAAATTCCGCTGTTCATTGCGACTTACGGCCCAGTGGCTGGTGTATCGTATATTCTTTGAGTCAATCGGGAAGGTCTCGGCAATGATCGTAACTCGATAACCACCCTTTTCCTGGATTCTAATGGCGGTGGACAAGCCTACGACCCCTACAAGCTTTCAGTATTAGTGCATAATCATAGAGGACATGGAAGATGACGAACCTGCCCCGATGACGACGATGTCTTTGGTCGCCTCACTATCTCGCTGCATCATTATTGATGTAAGTCCAGCAAGAATCCCCGCCAGGGGCCACGCTGGACTGTATTGGTACCTGCCCCTGAAAAGGTAGCTGCGAGTCCCAACGTTGGCAGACCTGTCTACGCATCTTTCATAAGAAATTCTGGGCTCAGCTGTATCGTGTATAGTAGCAGGAAACAATGCAAAGCTTGTCGACTTTTGCCCCTGTACTACAGCAATATTAGGATGTGATTCAAGTTGTTGCCTTTTCTTCCCATTATCCTTACGTCAGCACACATTTTCTCCTCGTCGAGGACTGTTCGAGCGCTGAGCTGCTATGCCCTCGACACCCACCAAACGAACTGCAGAACAGCCTCCAGACAATGAACGGCCGTCGAAGAGACAGTTTGTGTCGTCTCCAGAGGAAGGCGAAGTAGACGATCCAGATCCACACTCGCCGCAACCAGCTAATGGATCGCCGCCAAAGTCTCCGCAGGAATCCAAACCAAAGGTCAAGTTTCCCTTCAAAACTAGAGCTAGTAACCAGGATCCGCCACCCGTGCCACCTGCTAGGCTTAGCACTTCGGACGACAGGACACTGGCCCCCGTTTATGACCGGCCAGGCGACGACGACAGACGTATGTATAACGAGGAGCAACGCACAGGAAGACCTAGCTATGCACATGGCCAACCCCGACGGCGGCCACACTATGGAGACCACTGGGAACCAAGTTCAGATCGTCGCCAACCTAGTTGGGATTCCCAAAGGGATGGATACAGACATGATTGTTATAGGCCACCGCTGCCACACAGATACGCAGACAGGAGCTACGACAGAGACAGAGATAGGTCTCCTTCCGAGCGTTCGCGGTCTCCGTCCTCGACCCCAAGAGGAAAGCACAGGCTACCGTCCCACTATTCCACACCAGCATTCTCTCCCCCTCCTCGTAATTATGACGTTGACAGACTGCACGATCAGAGAATGCGCGATGCATGGGATCGCGACCGGTACCTCGATGACCGTCACCGCCCGGACAACCGACTTCACTATAATGATGACCGGCATTACCGTCCGGATTACGGTTACGAACGTGGTCGCTTTGATAGACGCGGTAATGACGACAGTCAACCGCCTCGCGCTGCCGATTACCGTCCTGTCTCCCCGGGCGGTGGTGACTCTTATCGACCAATTTCTCCCCGCCCACTTCCACCACAGTCACCGCCACCATCGTTGCCCCCGAGTGGTCCACCACCGCCACCACCGTCATCCCCCCCTCCGGTTCCCCCTGCTCATCCCGTCAAAGACGACACCCTCCCCGCTGCTCACAGTGCCGTCTCTATTGCAATGCCATTTAAGCGACCCCAGGCTCCGCGGGATGACCACTCCCCATCACCGTACCCACTACCACCTGCACATGAGGATGATGTTCGTCGGGCCCAGGAGAAGAGGGACGCAGCAGGTGGAGATCTTGCAGCCATATCTGCGGTACCCCCGCAGCGTCGGCGTCGTGAACCTGTTCATCGGACAAGAAAAGAGGAGATGGCTGTTTATGGACGAACATTCGAAGGATGCGGTCGGCAGAGCGACTACGAGACGACCACGAAGCTTGGTGAGGGCACTTTTGGGTAAGTCAATTTCTCGACTCCCCAACGGAACGGCTGCTAAGTTGACGGTACCAGCGAGGTCCATAAGGCCATCCAACTCGCTACTGGACGCGCTGTCGCACTGAAACGCATACTGATGCACAATGAAAAGGAAGGCATGCCTGTTACAGCCTTGCGAGAAATCAAAATCTTGAAGGCGCTGCGTCATCCTTGCATCGTTGACATCCTGGACATGTTTGTTGTCAGAAGTACGCCAAATGGGCCGTGGAACCGGTCCGATACTGATTAATTTTCTTCCCCAGGCAAGGGCAAGGATTGCTCGCTGTCGGTGTATATGGTATTTCCCTACATGGACCATGATCTTGCTGGCCTGTTGGAGAACGAACGAGTGAAGCTGCAACCGAGCCAGATCAAGTTGTATATGAAACAGCTTTTGGAAGGCACCGAGTACATGCATCGCGTGAGCAGTCTTTCCTTGATCTTATCGAAGCACCTTCACGTGTCTGGGTGCAGAATCATATCCTTCATCGAGATATGAAGGCTGCCAACTTGCTTATCGACAATTCTGGATCTCTCCGGGTCGCTGACTTCGGTTTGGCACGTGCATATGATCCTGCCGTTGTCAACGGCGTGCGAGACCATCATGGGAAGGAGAAGAAATACACTAATTGCGTGGTTACGCGGTGGTATCGCCCTCCAGAGCTGTTGCTCGGCGCACGTCAGTATGGCGGGGAAGTGGATATATGGGGAATTGGGTTCGTATTTTCATGACTCCAACTCCCATCATGTGCGGGTCTTAGGTGCCTTGCAGATGTGTTTTGGGTGAGATGTTCATGCGCAAACCTATTCTGCCGGGTACTTCGGATATCGACCAGTTGGAGAAAATTTGGCAATTGTGTGGTACACCCAATCAGCACACTTGGCCAAATTTTGATGCGCTACCTGGGTGCGAAGGTATCAAGCGATTCCCTAATTATTCCAAGAGGCTCAGGGCGGCATTCGAAAGGTTGGTTCATCTAATGTGCCTTCGTGAATTACTCAAGACTTGGCCCCGACGTTCCTAGCATTGGGCCTGAGACGTGTGATCTACTGGACAAGCTGCTCACATGTAATCCAAGAGAACGCATCACCGCATCTGCGGCCCTCGATCATGATTACTTTTGGACGGACCCGTTACCTGCAGACCCCAAGACGTGCGTATCAAGCGGAATTTCATTTTCGCTTGCTTACGCACTTTTCCCTCTTTGTTTAGCCTTCCCACTTATGAATCTTCGCACGAATTCGACAAACGAGGCCGACGCAATCAGCCACCTCCAGGTATGATGCCGCCTGAGAACTTCAGGCCTCATCCCCCTGCTGGACACCCACCTTACCACGGACGTCATCCGCCACCCCGAGAAGCCTTTCGTACCGGCCCGCCACCACCGCCAGTCATCGTCTCAGCCCTCATGCAGGGAGCGCCAACTGGGCAGCCGCCACACCCACCATTTAATCGCATGCCACCTTATCCTCCACATCCGACCAGGCATCCTGGGCAGCCTCCTCGTCCTGCATTCCCTGGCCCACCATCGCACTTACCAGCTAAGCCGGTTGCTCCGCTGGGTCTGAATCCATCTCAGTTTGCGGGCCGGAGTGAGCGTGACAGGGGACCCCGTCGTGGCTACAGCACTGGTGGTGATGTCGGTGGTGGGCGCCCACCCCCACAGAACGGGTACAACAGTGGCGGTGGTCTACCGTATGGTAGTTAGTGAACGAGGCTCGTTGCACTCGTTTTCCCGTATCCGGTCTTTACCATGTAATAGCAAGTTGTTTGGTGTACTTGAAAGTAATCTTGTTGGGAGTTTGATTTGGTGTATTCCCATGGACTCCAGACGGTATCAGGCACGGTCAGCCGCAGCAGGGTCCCAAATCCTTCGTTGAACCACGACTATGAAGGCGCTCAAGTTGACGTGTTTCGTCTACCTCTCGACAGTGCTCGCCTCTGCGTTACCAGAGAGCCAAGTCGTTCTGAATGACTTGTCCAACTTGGAACTGCCCGCCGACCCTGCATTTGCAGATTTCGAGCACACAACGAGCGGTGGAATTCACGGCAAGCAATTCGCTCAAGAGGAAGGGATAATCTGTAAGTCGTCTATTAGTAGCCAACGGGACACCCCATACTGATACTCAAGTACGATAGACGAACTCGTTCGACACCAATACTTTGCCCAACATCAACTGCGGGTGACGGAGCCTTCACTCTGTGATCCATCCGTAAAGCAGTACTCTGGATACCTCGACGTGACCGATGACAAGCACCTATTCTTTTGGTATGTCTTCCTCTTCTCCGTGCCATGTCATACAGTGCCCTGACTGTGGTCCCAGGTTCTTCGAGTCACGCAACACTCCCGAATCGGCGCCTCTTCTCCTCTGGTTAAACGGCGGTCCAGGTTGCAGTTCTTCGACTGGGCTTTTCTTTGAGCTTGGACCTTGCAGCGTCTCAGATGACGGGCTCAATACCACCTACAATCCGTACAGCTGGAATACCCATGCCAACATCATCTTCCTGGATCAGCCTGTCGGCGTCGGGTTCTCTTATGCCGAAGATGGCAGCAAGGTCGACACTAGCGAGCGCGCTGCAAAGGACGTTTATGCGTTTTTAGAGCTTTTCTTAACTCGGTTCCCTGAATACTCCAAGCAACCGTTCCACATCGCTGCAGAGAGTTATGGTGGCATATACGCGCCCAACATCGCAAGTGTCATTCACAACGAGAACCAGAAGCTTCCTTTCACGTCAACCGGACTCGTCAAGATCAACTTAGAATCAGTCGTCATTGGGAACGGACTGACGGATAGCTATACTCAGTTCGCGTCGGTCCCGGAGTACCTCTGTGAAGGGCCGTACCCTATATTCGATGACCCCAGTGGGCCGGAATGCACGTCCCTCAGGAGCAAGGTTCCCACGTGTCAGAGACTCATTAAAGCTTGCCACACTTTCAAGTCTCGCTTTGTGTGTGTCCCAGCAGAACTTTACTGCAATGCACAACTATATGGTCCAGTTCAATGTGAATGAAATTGCCCGTTCTTCGTGTGGAATCTAAAGGCTGACTGTTTTCCTGCAGCGTCTGGTTTGAATCCTTACGACGCTCGCCGTGTGTGCGACCCTGAGGAGGATGGTCCTCTGTGCTACAAGCAATTGACTTGGATTGAGAAGTATATGAACACCCCCGAAGTTAAGGCAGCCATCGGCGTCGCCCCGCAACTAGAATTTAAGGCTTGCAACATGGGTGTGAATCAAGGTTTCCTGTTGCAAGGCGATTCCGTGCGGGACACACCCGCATTACTTCCTGAACTGGTTAACAACGGCATTCGATTACTTGTCTATGCAGGCGTCGCCGGTTAGTGCTGGATAACAGAGTTTCAGCAGTTCCTGATCCAGGCTCACTTCTATTTTCGCTAGACATGATGTGCAATTTTATTGTGAGTTGCATAAAATCTCATCCTCTGAGGAACTCAGATTTTGAACACTACGTTTTGGCAGGGCGAGGAACGTTGGTTGGAAGTTCTTGGTACTGACTTCCTTGACGAATTCCTTGACGCACCGACGGAGCAATGGATCACGTCGAGCTCAAAGACAGCCGTAGGTACTGTTCGGAGTGCCGGTGGAGGCAGTTCGCGGGCTGGGAATATCACCTTCGTAGCTGTCCACGATGCCGGGTGAGCAGCGCTATATGCATCGAGTGTTGGCCTGATCCTGATCCCATATTCAGTCACATGGTCCCATATGATCAGCCTGAAGCAGCTTTGGTAAGTGTTCTCAGTCTCGTTTTAGGGCAATGCTCATTGGTACCATAGGATTTAATCACGAGATGGATCTTCGACCTTCCGTTGACGACGGACTTTTCGACTAGCTTCCTGTAGAGTCAGCCAACAGCTCTTCGGAGCTAATGCTACTGCAGTGCAGCTGTACTACTGATCTAGGCCTATTATTCCTTTTATGTCTTCTGTGACTGGACGCAATGCGACAATGTGACAGACCTGCGGCGTGTGATTGGAAGGGAAAGCGAGGCTTCAGCGTGACCTTACCAAGAGCGGCGCCCTAATATAAATGGTTTATCTCGTGTGTCATTCATATCCTGCAGAGTTGGGTTCTAATCTAGTCACAGCCCTGGAAACCCGATTGGGGTTCAAACGTTCACACTTATTTCCCGCAGAACAAGCGTTAAACTGTGACATGGGTACGTAGATGTTCCCCCATCTTTACGTACCACCCGCAGCGCCCATCGCCACTCGACTCCCATAAATTGTGCTCTGAACTTAAAGTCGAGAACTGTCTACTCGCAGCCTACTCTCAACTCCTCCCCATGGAGACGATGGAAACGGATAACGTCTCTCTTTGCATCGATCTCCAAGCCCAACTGTTTTCCGCGAGAGCAGATAGAATCGCCTCCCTTTGGGACGTTCTGAGGGATAATGCTGTAGAGCCCCTCCAGGCGTCTATGCGAGAGCTCACGTCCTTCGTGGACGAATGTCTCTTTTTCGCTTCCATCCTAGAACGGCCAAAAGGACAGTGCGATGGGGACGAGCTTCAAGGTTCATGGTCGGACTCGGGAGTTCAAGAGTGCACCTCATTGCAGCCTCCAAGCGACGATCCGATCGGTCTCGTCTACGTTCACTCAGGGACCGGGAAACGTTCCTGCACGAGAGGTCAACGTAGGCATAGTCATTTGCCCGGAAAAGCGGCGGAAAGGATACGCGCGCGAGGCGATGGTGTTGGCGTTGGGGTGGGTATTTGATGAACTCAAGTTTCACCGTGCGCAGGCGGCTATAATGGATATGGCCGATCAAGACCGCGCGTTGCTCTTTTTCACCTCCATTGGCTTCTCGCACGAAGGGATACGCCGGCGCTCGATCTATCAGTCGGGGATGGACGGGGAGAATGGGGTATGGAAAGATGTCACTTACCTGGCTATGTTGGACACAGAGTGGGTGGTGAGGAAATCGCTGCTAGCGAGGGGCGCTCCATCCACGCTTTGGGAGGAGCTGCTCAACCGACATTCAAGTGAGAGGGAAAAGTTGGCCTCATGGGAAGAGCGTCATGGCAGGCTCCAGAGGACTGCCAGTATGGAGACGATCCGCGAAGCACCAAGGTCGAAAACAGCTGAGAAGCAAAAGATGACTGTGGAAGAGGCAGAACGACTGTTCCTGTACACGTCTTCTGACCAAAGTTCGACGTCTTCTTGCCAGTCGTCCATCCATGGCTCTGCACCTGCTTCGCCAGGCCCAGACATCCGTATCAGTTGGGCAGAAGAAATCAATGAAGAGGTCACGAGCAACAGTTTTAATCACCGTCCATTCCCTCCACCTCATGGACCATGGCTTTCTGATACACGTCTTCGTGACTCGCTCGCAGAAAGTCAGCACTGGCTCCGTGCCACGTCGTCTCAGGTGGAGCTACTTCCATCTATTCCATCTGCTTACCCGTCTATAACGGGCTCGGAATATGCAATCAGCATACCATCACCCTCATCTCCGCCACCCGATACACCGTCTGCCGGCTCCAGTTCCCCAGATCAAGACACTGGTTCTGAGATGTTGGATCCCGGAGACGTCTTGTCACAAATTAACCTCCTCCTACACGACTCCACTCCCAGGGCAATTGTCAATTTACCATCTTTCTCCAACTCGACGCGATCCGGTCGAAGCTCGACGGTGTCGAGTCAAGATTCGTGGTGCGATGCACGAAGTAACACCGATAGTGATTGGGACATTGTAGGTTCGAACTCTTCAGATGGTGCAAACTCAGCTTGCAGTGGGAGGTCACGAAAAAGGCGGGCCGAACGTCGGGAGGGACTCCGCCAAGTTTCAGGCGTTTAGTGGTAGATACCACTTCGAACAACACCCTTTTCGAGTCTTCACTGTACCGAACGGTGGTTTTAGGAAATTACTGTATGTCGTGACCTCTCCATGTAAGTCGCTATGAGTTGTTATAGGTCGTCTCTTGCCCATTGAACTGATCAATGGGCTGACTCGGCATTCTCTTCCGGAATCACTCGCACTTCCATCATCGGGGCTGGACGGAATCCAACTTCGACACTACAGTATCCGTAGTACGCAACACAATTTGAAAAGCACGAAGCCGCATGGAGGGAGCGCACTGCCTAATATGTTTCATCAGACGCAACTTGTTCAATGAGTACACGTGCCATCACTGATACGTTTGCAAGCCTTGTCAAGCTCCAGACAGGTCCACTGGCCAGGTGGCCTGCTGTCTGTCACATGTCGTGGTGTTGTGGACCAACCCGGGGTTCCTGGGCTTGGCACTGATCACTGTGTTTCAAGTTGATTTTTCTTTCTGGTCGATCGCTTCTTTCAGCTCACCTTGGGCTGGGTATGGACCGGAAATTCGACGTTGCGCTACAGCGTAATAAGGATAAGTTTGCCCTGGTATCTGTGTCATTAACGAGTCGTTTCCGTCGTTGCGTTCGTGATTAGTCAACACTTGGTAACAGGAAGATAAGCTTCATTTCAGTTGATTTGGGACACCGTGTCATTCAATTCGCATCTCGATCGGCTGATGCCGGAGCCCAGGGGCCACGTAGCACCTCTGAGGGTACGGGCATCAGGTTCACGCATAAAACAGGACGAGATCTTGCGGAAGAAATGCGAACCCGCTAACTATGGGACCAGGAATCAACCCGTAATTAACTATTTGCCCGCTTTCCGAGCTCTCCGCTTTCGACCAATGAGTGATCCAATAAGCTTTCCAGACTTAGATGGTTCCTCCTTTTTCAGCTCCACGTGTTCAATTGATATACAGCGCTTCTTAGATGGCGGCTCTTCCATCTTGGTAGAATCGCGTTGGGTACGTGGTCTGTCCTGTAGGATGTGTATTCAGATATGCGTTCGACGGTGACCAGATGGAAAATGAGTGTGCTTACTGCTTTCTCCTTTTGTCGAGACGACCGGCGTTGCACTACTTGGACATTTTCAATGGAAAACTCAACAATCAAGGTACCGTTCGGAGGCTTCGAGGGGTTTTCCAAAGCATCTTTCATCCGCTTAATCCGCGCCTCGTCCGGACTGTCTTTGGCCTTCTCTTTCTTGGTAAGGTCTGCCAGTTCTTCTCGCCACCACTTCTCGAAAAGCGCGCCTACTTCGGGGTTATTGTTGGCCCACCGTAGAACTCGAAGTGCGTCCGCATGCTTGTGCATCTCAATGAATCCGTATCCCCGACTACGACCTATTCCTGTTATAGGATCAACACGATCCTGCTGCCGTACGATCTTGGTTTGCTTCACAGGAGTAGGCCGTCCGAACTTCTTGTCGTGTTTCCTTGATTTAGTGCTTTTGACCTCGTGCTGGTCAGTGCCTAGCACACCTTGCGCGGGCTCCGCAAGTTCGTCGGGGTCTAAACCTTCCCTGAGCTGTGCCTTGACTTCCACATTGAATGCTTTGACAGCATATACAGCGAGACGTTTAAGAACCCGCTCCGTCACAAACAACGGTATCCGTCGGATACTTAGGCGTGTTCTAGAGACATATAGTAAGGGATTGCTGCGAAGCAGCGCTCTGCGGGAATTGAAGGAATTCGTCCGTCTCTCGACTTCAGCCGGTGGGAGAGTCTCCGCAGCAGGTGTATTTAGAAGCACAGCTACCATATTCGTAAGTTTGTGGGTCCCAGTGAAAAAGGATGCGACGTACCACCCTCGCGCAAGAGGTAGAGGTTACGCTTGTCAGCCTTTTCTCGTGCTTTCTCGCCCTCTTCTTTGAGTTTCGCAGCTTGGTCCCGCGTTACGGCGCGTGCGGCATCGAGCGTACGACCGTGCAGAACCAAATTCCTTGCAATACTAGAAGACGGGTCAGGCGTAAGAATGGAAGGAAGGGTAAAGGGATTTTTGGTCGGCTGAAATATTCGACGTAAAGTTACTTGAGATAGATGGCACAAATGCAAGGGAGAATATACCTGTGGCTGATTGCCCATGGTCTCAGCACGCAGAATTTCGCTCTGTTCGATGACCTTATCAGCATCCCCCTTGTTCCAAAAACAGACGAATCCTGTTCCCCGAGACCGCTCTGTCTCCGGATCGATTGTGATACGAGCATATCGAAGAGGTCCCCACGCCCTGAATCTTCATCATCAATGAGCATCAAGCGGTCCGCACGAGATAATGTGAACCTACAAGGTCCGTAGCTCATCCTCAGTTGCCGTGAAGGGAATGTTGCGAATGAACAAGGTGGTTCCGACATCCGTTTGTGGTAGCTTGGGTTTTATAGCCTCTGGTTCATCATCGTCCCCAGCGGTTTCTTCGTCTTCGTCTTCGTCTTCAGACTGGCTGTCAGTATCTTCTTCAGTTTCTTCGTGGACACCTATGTGCTCGTCCCTGTCTTCACTATCTTCTTCATCTTCATCCTTGTCTTCGCTCTCTGAACTCGAGTCCTTCATCTCCACATCGCCCCCTTCACCTTCACCTTCACCTTCACCTTCACCTTCACTTATCTCCTCCAGTTTTGACTTCGCTTCCTCCCATCTATCCTTGCTCAACGCCCAGTCCACGACGATCATCCGTTCTTTTGATGAACTACCCAGAGTCTCAGGAACACCTTCCGCTTCTTCTTCCTTTACAGACTGTACATGTTTCTTCTCCTCTCTCCGGTCTTTCTTCCTCTTCTGCTTGTCAGAGACAATAGCGTGAGCCATACCGGCTTTGACTTTCATTCCATTGCACTCTTTCAGCGCAGCCTCCGCATCTTTCCGGCTGAGCATCCATACAAATGCGAAACCTTTCGACCGGTTTGATGTTGAGGGCTTAGCCTCTTCCCCGCGGTCACCCTGATCAGCGTCATCGGCGTTCATGACTGGCATATTAATCGAGTGTATAGGTCCGTAGGGTAGGAAGATTGCTCGTAAATCTTGCTCTGTAAAATCAAAAGGGAGGTTACGGACGATGAGACGACTTGCATGACTTGGCAAAGCAGCTTTGGTTGGTTCTGCGAGTCATCTGTGTCAGGTTCAGCAGGCATATCCTAGTGAGACACGTACTTTTTCTCGAGCCTTGAACCAGATTCTCGAGACGCTTTTTGAGTGTCACGGATAAAAGGCATCCCTTGAAGACATGCGCATGCAACTTGTTGACGGCGTCCTGTGCATTCTTTGAGGTAGAGAAGAGGGCACTTGCTATGCAGGTTTCAGCGTCCAAGTCGTCCAGGATACGCAGAAAGTAATCACCTGTTGTAGGATCCTCGCCTCCTGAAGATGTTTTTCCGGGCCATACCACGTTCTCTGCACCCTCAAGTTTGCGTACTTTCTTCCACAGCGTTTTCAAGTCTATGGTCGATGGCAAACCGGAAATGAGGATGGTTCGGATGGCGAGTGGATCGTTGGATTTAGAGACAGATAACTTGACCGCTGCCTCATCCTCCTTTTTCATAGAGTCCGCCTTGGGTTTTGCTGAACGGTCTTTGGTCGGCCTGTCCTTGGGCTGGTTATAAAAAATGAGTGAGCGCTCCGACGTGACGTAGGTGGCACCATTACTTTTAAACCAGCCCATGCGACCCTCAGTTTTCGGTCGTTCATGGTCATGCCATCGGACGTGATGGAATCAAATGCAGACTGAGCATCCTCCCGGATCGCGAAAGAGACGTATCCAACGCCCTTAGATACGCCCGTACCATGCTCAAGCACCACAAATGCAGACCGTACAGGGGCAAGATCGGAGAAGGCAGTTTTTAGATCGGTTGACGTTGCATCGTAGGGCAGATTAGACACGAAGAGCGTCGACCTTGCAGGGAAGAGAGACGGACGTTTGCCATCCACGCGTGTCTCCGAAGTAAGAGTGACCTACCCGTGTCCTCCCTTCTCAAAGTGTTGGTCTTCCCTGGATTTTCTTTTGCCCAGGGTGGTCGCCATGGATCTTGGGACTATGTATTCACGTCCTTCGACTGCCTCCTGCAAAAACCAGACAAGAACGGTTGTTTGGGTTTGTTAGGATTCAAAGGCATTACCAAAGAAGGGAACTCCTACTACGAGCGACTAGCAATAACTCTTTGTGTCCCTCAAGCCAAAGGGGTGGCAGATCACGATCGTCAGTCTAGAACTACCACCTTCAAAAACTCGGGAGGCACAAGACAATGATCTCTCACCCTTCGCACACTTTGCTCACCTTGGCCTTACGAACCCCTGGCGTGAATCTGACTGACACACTTCTTAGCCAGCCTTTTCACCAGCACAGGGCATCGTGACCCATCGTGTTGACTTAGGCTGTACCCTCTCGAGAAGGAATCCCGCATCTTCATGATCTTCACAGAATTGATATACGATCGGTGACCGCTCGGCCACCAAGGACCGCCTCCGTCGTTGAATGAACTTGGATCCCATTACCGTGGACATGGTAAGCACCATGGCAATCGGGCCCAGCCACACCTACACTACTCCTTGAGACCTACGCATTCCGTCGGTCGTCGCCCATCGTTACCGTTGCCATATCACCCGACAAACTTCTCCCGCTCCGTGGATCCAAATACACGGGTAACCTGAGGTAATATGACCCCGTAGAGTGGATGAGTCATGACGCGGCGCGCGATGACGGACCTAGATTCCAAGCATACAGTTTCATTTGTATTCGCGTGCGCGTCCCAGGGATTCGGAACTAGTAGGGTCGAAGGTTGAATGCCAACGGTGACTACTCACCACTGTTTCGTCCCGATCCTCCCGCATTGAGGTACGAACAGCTTGGAGCGGAAATAAAATTTATCGGTCATCCCTGAATATGCTGGCGTGGCCCAAGGCTGTCCAGTGATCTTTAATGGGCCTCGACCCCTTCTATTATGCTTATTCACGTTCAGGCATGGTACGTCGTTCTCGCGAAGCGTTACTAATCGGAGAAGGGAGGTCCGTCATCGAGAATTGGGACCTCTGAGAAAATTAATCTCCCAGGGTTCATATGACAACATATCTGTCCCAGAGCGCTCGGGGAAGGGGGGCGCAAACCGCCGGCAACTTCAGCACTAATACCTACGTACAGGCAACGAATCTCAATGCCGAATCGACCCTGACACAATGTCATTAACTGAGTCAGTACATTTCTGTGCACTCTCTCATCGAATTGGTTCGCCGATGCTCGGTAGGCATCACTTCTCCACCGACACACGGGTCGGCGCCCGCCCTACCCCCGCCTCCTGCTCGGCGGCAGTAAAAGACCAAAATAAGTAAATGAATTATAGGAGGACCTCGGAACAAGACCCGTGTATACAGTAGTTATCCCTCAGGGTGCTCGTTTGGTGGGGAGCAATACCCGTGATTGATCGGCGTCCATCGTGCACATGTGTTCCGGAGTGGCTTTCCCTCGGAATCTGTATGAGTTACGGATCGGATTCGTATGTTCAACGTTTAATACATGTTCATTCCAGGAGGTATCCCAAACTGCCACTTGGGGGGCCGCCCAAAAACGACATCAACATCGGGGACAGACAGGGATAAACTCACCGAATCGTGTCCATGAAGTGAAATGCATATGGACCCGGATTCATGCTTGTCATTACCGCTGACACCAGTCCAATATTGCGGAGAACAACCGACGTTCCCCCGCGATCGACCCTGACCAGTGACTAATCAATCTCAGGTGGGCACCGAAGGCCTGCGATCTCCCGAAGTTTTAGGTTACATTATGTCGTGCTTGAACCTCCTGACCCGAGTCGACGCATAAACCGGAAGCTGATCTCGCTCACAGCCACAAATAACCTTAGGTGATCGAGCTGCGACGCGACGGAACGCGGTCTAATGAATTTTGTTAGAGTCGATGGGACCGCGCGATTCCCACCTCGGTCCGCAAACTACGAAGAGGCGGCGATAGTAAGCAATGCTTTGGAAAAGCAACTAATACACGACGGTAGAGTAAAATACATAATGAGTGCGAGTAGCAGAGACGGTGTAGACGTGGGGAAATACTAGGTAGAAGCAGTAACAAGAGGAATCAGAGAAAATATCCCAATACCCGAGGAAAATGTCGGCGCGTCAAGTGTAGATACGCACGTACACATGCGGTTGTGGATCGATGGCGACCAAAGAATAGCGAAGAAAACGGAAAAGGCCCAAGAGTAGATGCTGATGGTGGGAGCACGGTTGAAGAGTGCCAGCCACAACGAAGAACCCACGGGTGCCGAAAACGTGCCCTCAAGTTCACCCCACGAGGGCACTCCGTTTGAGGTTATCATGTACAACCGCATCTTGCACTGTGCCAAGTATCACCGATCTACTCCCTAGCATCTCCAAAAGGGACTCACCATTCTGCAAGATGAGCGCCGTCGATTTCGTATCCTATACGAGAAAAGAGAAAAGCGAAAAGAAGTGTTAAAAGAATCTTCTTTGCATCGTCGTAACAACAAGGCCCGTACCGTCACCGATGTGAAGTGGCAATAGAACGGCCGGTCGTTAGCGTGTTCTCTCATTAACGCGGCAAACTTCTTCTTCAGGTCTGCAATCAAGCCGAGAACCAGCAGCCAAATTCAGTTCGTTGCCATCAGCGCATACGAACGGAAGAAGAAAAAAATGACGAAACTCACATATGCTAGCGCTTTCGAAATCGTTGGGCCGGTTCCCATAGCTAGTGATGTAATTCCCTAGCCGTATTCCAGACTCGAGCTTTGCACGTAATATATCGCACTTGTTAAGAAATAGAATGAGGTACGCCTTCTTGAGTAGTGGGTGCGACACTATCGTTTTCCATAGCAGAAACGAGTCAGCCTGAAGGGTTATATTAAGGAATGATACCTGATATGTGAAATGAGAGCGTACGAGTCTATTTACAGAGGGGTCCTCTTGAAGAACTTGATCGAAGCAGCTTATTGGAGCAAGGAATATGATGGCGTTCATGTCGTCAAAATATGGTACCCATGCAGCTATTCGGAAAGGTTGGCGATAGTCACATGCAAAGCGGGCATTAAAAGCGTACCTCTCTGCAAGAGAAAGTCAGGGTGGAAACAATTGCAATGAGTGAGAATGGCGCACCAAAGATCTCTGTCCGCCCACGTCAAATACACGCCAGTCGTGACTCATAGATGAGCCGAGGGGTCCTGCAGACAAATGAGCCGATGCACACTTCGTTACCTGCGAGAAACAACAGACCAGATCGCACTGTGAAACAGTGTTCAGACACGCCAACAGTCTTTATCCGTGCACGAAGCACATCGTCTGCACATGCTATGAATGGACTACCTCGAGGCAGGAACCGAATGCCTACCATCCGAGGGTACATATCGCCGCGAGGTGACCCTATCTAGATCGTCCAGGAAGCTAGAGGGTATCACGTCGGACTGCGTCAATACGAACGAAAGAAAAAAACTCACAAGCCTGCCATCTCTTCTGGTCTCATTTTTTCGACTTCCATCAATCTCTTGATGATCGGATCTGCCCAGAGTCGCTTCATGTCCTCGGCACATGCCTGCATGACGACACCAGGATCATCTGGATCTGACCAGTTTATCATATCAGCCGTATCGCAGCTCTTCCGATTGTCCCCGTTTCCCACTATCTTGCTGAAAGCGCCCTTCCAACCCGAGTTTGAGTTGATGCATACTTCGTGCAGGGACGAGTCGTCTGCAGACGCAAGTTGACTTGGGGGAAGTATTTTCCTGAGAAGGGCTACTTCTACTTGAATGAGAGGTGCCAGTCGCATCTTGAGCTTGAGATGGTCTGCGGTGAGTGGGGGATAGTCTTTGTGACCCGATGGTGGACGCGACGAGGAGGAGCCATGTGAGACATGACCTGAGGAGCACTGACTGGACGAACTGTAAGATGTGGATGGGTGAGATGCTGCATGTGCTCTGGATATAACGTCCAGAATGGCGTGGATGGACTGGACCACGTTGAGTTGTATGATGCTCCGCCAGTAAGCCTTCTCGGCGCGGAATGTCTAAATAGGGGTACCGGTGATCAGAGGGTCTATACTCGGGCCGGAGAGTCAGTGTCTCACTTTTGGAGAGTGCATAAGCTGGAGATCTGACACGTCCAAATCGAGATAAATGACTTCTGAAAATAGACAAATATGTCATACGGCTTACTTTTGAGCGTCGTCGATTTGCCTGGCGGGAGTGCGTAATCAGAGTCTCAGTACTTCAGCCACTCAGTCAGTCAGTCGACGACCGACGCACCAGATTCACTTTGGCCTGGCCGGGGGGAGTGCGAGGGTCAGCGTCGACGATAGGCTGAAAGAATGGCGCGTTGCGCACCTAGGAGTAGTATCTTGATGGGTTTCGGACCCTTCTTATCGGCCATGCGTTGTCTACTGAGTTCCTCGTCGATGGAATCCGAGACACGCTTTGCCTCCTGCTCCGCGCGAATGCGCACTTCCCGTTGCTGTTGAGTCTCGTTCGAGGGCGGTGCCATGGCGCGTGTCAGAGGATCGTCCTCAACCAGCTTGTGACGTCTCGTTCCCATGCTAGCTGCTGTGGAGATCTTGAAGGAGAGAGGTATTGTGGATGGTGGTGGTGGTTGGGTGACTGAAGGACGAATATAAGCGCGTCTGGCCAAATGAAACTTCGGCCCCCCACTAGTTGAGTTAGGTCGAGATGAGGAGTGCGGTTGATACGGCGACGGGGTGTACTTATGGGATTTGAGTGATCTAATCCGATTTGACAATATTAGGAAACCCGTGACACACAGCTCCTCCCCGATTCTCCACCTCCTCTGTCGCCGGAGCTGCTCGGCTTGCAAGTCTCTGCTCGGCCTTGTCCTGTCTTTCTCCGCGCATGTCCTCCTCGGCGTTGCCCTCAGCTTCACCCTGGAGACCGTCTCGAGACTCGAATTATGAAATACCATCCCACATGCTCGGTAATATTGGCCCTGACGGGCAAAGTCGAGCCCGAGAGGTCTATCGGAATGTGCATACTACATGACAAACAACTTCGCGCTGGTCCGTGCATGTGTTCCTCGTTGTTCCTTTGTTTAATTGCCAACTTGACGCTGCCGCGTTGCACGGCAGCCAAAGACCCCTAGTGTACCTGAATCGAAGGTGTCATTATTATGAATCGTTTATGTCGTTGCCAAACATCTAATCAAATAGCTAAGCAGTCCACAGATGGGGGGGCCATTCCAAGCATTATGTTATGTAGATAAACACGAAAAGCACTTTGCAGAAAACAGCACGACATGGCACTTCTTTCCTTCTAATCAACCCTACTGATCATCCCAACAGACCCTCTCCGTCTGACATCGCCGCAGAACTGTAGCCACTGGCACCAATTTCATTGTACCGCGCCACTCGGAGCCGCTGACTCGGAGGGATCATCTTATCCTCCAGTCCATGTGGTGCACCACCATGCAAAATCCCCACACGCTTCATAGCAAGTAACTATATATCCATCAATGAGCATGAGAAACTGCATCAATAAACAAGCGAGGCGCTCACGTTATGCGCAGCATTGCTGTGGTCATAGACACCACCAAAGAAGGCCGTCGTAGCGTCTCTCCCGATGTTCTTCATAAGAAGGTGGCGTCCGCCGGGATGCTCATCCAAGAAGTCGGCCACATCATGAATAAAGCCTGCAACGCAAATCAGAGGCCGAGTCTTGGCCTGAGTTTGGTCTATAACCATTCATTAAATCATGAACGCAGCTCCGCCGTTTTCCGCTTGTTCACTTACAGCTTTCCCAGCTAATCACTGGCAGGTGACTATTATCCGAGGGCCACGACAGCAGCTCCTGTGTCTCACGGAGGCGCTTGAGCTGCATCGTCAGTTGGCCTTTGCGAACTTCGTTGTCAGGGAACGTCTGACAAGGTATGTTAATAAGGGAAAAAGATATGTACACGACCAAGACCGTACCTTGAGATGGGTAGCGAGACCAACTTTTTTGCAGGCCCAGATAAACCACTTCGTCGGGTCATACTGATACCACTTGATCGCGTTCCGGTAGTCCATAGGGAATTGGTGGTGGAAGTTGTGATAACCCTCGCCGATGGTAACAAGCGCCGTGACCAAATGGTCACGAGGAGTATGCTTGTCATCGAAAGGCGCTTCTCCGAGCCAGTGAGCAAGCGAATTGACGCAGAAAGTAGACTATGAAGGTCAGCCAACATTCCAATCCAAGGAGTCCAATTCGTACTTACGTGGTGAACGAAGACGAGGCGCAAAAGACCCGCATACACATACCCGCCTTTCCAATCGCCCCATCCCAAACCAGCAACTACCGTAGGGAAAATAACTCCCATGATCAACACCAACTTGAGGTAGTGACGGTGTTGCCATCGGACAATCTCATTCTTCGAGAGATCGCTGACGTCCGCAACGCCCGGCTTACGACGAGGTTTGACAATCATCCAACCAATGTGGGACCACAAAAGACCCTTGTGGGCGTTGTACGGGTCGAGGTCCGTATCGGTGTATCGGTGGTGGGCACGGTGACCACGTGCCCACCACCTGATTGAGCCTTCAACGGCGCCCGCGCCGGCGAGTGCAAGTGCATACTGAAGGGGGCGGGACGCGTTGTACGACCTGTGGGCCCAAAGACGATGGTACCCGGCGGTGATGCCTGTTGCAAGCGTAAGCTCGCCGTTTTTTTTTTTTTCCATACTACTCTGAAAAATAATCTCACCCAGTCCAGTGATGTAGTAGTACACGACGGACCAAACGGCCGTCTCCCACCTGAGGCGTGTAAAGTATGCACCAATGAAACCAAGTACGGGGGTGAAACCAAGGATGAATACATGGAGCCAGTTAAGCTCTTCCGTGAGGTTGTCCCATGTCACTGGGGGCAGCGACTTCTGGTTCTTCAACGTGTACGATACGTAGTTATCAGGGATGTTAGCATCCGCTGGGACATGGTCTGGGTTGTCAATGAAATCGACTGTTACTTCCGCTTTCTTCTCTGCTGTCGTTGTCGTAGAGTGGTCGTTACCGTTCGCCATGGCCAGTGGCGACAAGGAGGGTGCGCTGTCCGAAGACATGCGGGCAGTGACGAGGAGAGAACGAAGATGAAAAAGTCAAAGCGTGAAAGGAAAACCTCAGGGTCCCCGAAATTTATGCAGGCGTGGATTCTTTGGGGTTGCCGGCTTGGTCCTTTTATGTAAACCCAATTTCACCGGCACCAATTTACTTTCCACCGAATCCACAGACACTGCAAAACACCCATTCCATTGACAGTTATGCTTGATCCTTGTACTGCCATTGGTACTGCGGTCGTTCCAAGCGCGCCCGTAAGACACTCGGTATTTGCTTCTACTACCAGCGGGACTAATTTCAATTTCTTGGGGCGGAAGTATTTCTACCTAGGGCATGACGCAAAGTTACTCACTAAAAATGTAGAAGTTTCACGAAACTTCCTTTTATGTTCATCATGGTCGTAAGATTCCGGCTCAAGATTTCAAAATGACCACGTTCCGAATGCACAACTTGAAGATCCCTTTGACGATATCTAGCACCATAAAAATTGTGGTTGTCAGCCCCCCAAAGGTAATGTGTCTCTGACGGAGATTTCAAGCGAAGATATCTCAGCCTTACGATTTTGTGCCTGTCCTCATTGCACTCTCATCACTTGCGCCACTAATTCATCTTCAACAACCCCATCCTCCCCAAACGTCAATCCCACGCCCGATTACCAACAGCACCCCAGCATAAGCTATTGTACATTGCCCACAGGATATACGATCGTCGCTGGACTTGTATCGCGCGTGGATTGAACTGGCCAACTGAATTCTCCGTGTTCATCGGATCTAACTGTCTGAATCGCGAGGGTCCACTACGAACGTTAACGCAACGACAAAGATCAGGATCATGATCATCTGTCACGCTCGAGTGAGGCTTGATCAAAGCAGTGTGATTGTGCAGCCGGGTTTCCAAGCTACGCCCGCAAGCTCGAGAAAGTTCATGCATCGCGGGAGTTCGGATGATGACTCCACAAATACAGGGAATGACAACGTTCAGCAGGCATCTCAAACACACCATGCACACACATGAGTGATATATCCAAACTTGCATGAACCCCGTGAACTCAGCTGCGCATGTGATGCCTGTACAGGGTCAATGGCAAGTATGCCACCCCATTGGAGTCAGTCTTAAATGGAACCACTTTGCCAGATGGCTTCTCCAAAACCATCATCTTTGTAGGAATCCCTAACCCAATTGAATAGATAAGTGGAACCAATAAAAGTACACGTTAGCCGTCCCACCGCAAACATTCCCGCCCCAACGAATGGATATTCTCGTACCATAAAGAGAAAGCACGATGTTTTTCTCATGGACACACACTTGCTGGTCAATCGGTGCACGAGGCTATTGAAATGTTCACGTCGACCAGTGACTTTCCCATCCCCATAGCAAAGTCAACCTCGGGACGCGTAAACACCACAACAGAAGATGCTGCCTCAGGGCAAATATGAAACGCCGGGATAAACCAGATCCAGCCGAGCGTTGCCTGGGGATCAGTGGTGAAAACTGTGTTGATTATCTAGTGGGGGTGCGTAAATGAAGGACCCACCCGTCCCCAAAAGATTTTGAGTCGTAATTCCCGGTTCGCGTGGACAATGATTCCACCGCTATCATTCTCACACCCTATATTTGATGATGATGGGTGAATAACAGAGTACGATAGAGAATCCAGGGATGACGCCGCCAGGGGGGTACTGCCTTGCTGCGGATGATGGAAATTTTGGGAAAATAGATCCGTCCAACCTTCGCCGGGCGATGAAATCAATGCGAAGCTAAATAGTCGTGCGCCCTGAACGACCGAGTCTATGGGTCCCATCTTTGCCAACTGAGCGAACTCATACGCACCATACTCCCATCTCCAGACACTTCCACAGCTCCAGTAGACATGGTGGCGAATTTTCGTACCATCTTCCCCCTATCCCATTTACCATCTTCGAAAGTACGTGGAGACTCTGACGACTGACGTGGTGACAGCTCCGCAAGCTGCCCCACTAGATCATCGTCGTAGCGCGCGAGCGACGCCCAGACGCGACCGCTCGAGGCCGCCTCGGAGCTTCGTATGTTGGTCGCCTGCTGTACCATGCTCACTGCCTGAACGAGACTGGGTTGTATACCCGACAACTCTCGCATTCGAACTACCACTCGCGTGATCCTGACCTTCCTGCAGTCGTATTTGCGTAGTTCCAGGGTTCCTTCCGTGCCGGATGATGTGCTCCCATCTGTGGCCAGGGATTGTGACCAGTAGCGTAGCCACCGTTGCTGACTCGGTATGCTCACGCCCCGTTTCTGTTTGTGTACCGGAAGCTGCTGGACAGCGGGTTTCATGCGACGTATAGTATACAAGTCAAGGACCTGTTCGAACCTGTGTCTGGGGGACTCCGACACGGTGCGTACCATGGTCCAGTCTCTTGGCATATCACTCTGCTTTTGATGCCAACTATCTGTCGCCGCCTGAACAGACTTCACTTCTGCGTCTTCGAGTGTCGATGAGCTCGGCTCAAGGGTGTCACCGTCTCGGACGAGGTCGGCAACACGGAGGGTACGTCGCGCGTCGAGTTCTGGTATTGCAGGTGATAGCGAACACACTAGAAGGTATGCACAAGCCATGGTACCAGAGCGGCCTTTCCCAGCTGTTTTTGTTTACTATTAGTGGTTGGTGTTCCCGCGAATGAGGAGCTGGAACGAAATAGATACCTTTACAGTGTAACACCGCCACTCTGGCGTCTGAGCCGGAGAGCCACGCGCCTATCTCTCTCGTTACCAACGACATGTATGAGAACGGTGGGACGCTGATATATGTATACGTTCCACGAATCACGAACCAGACAAACTGCATGAGGAACGAAGAGTGACAAGTGACGCTGAGAGGACCAAACTAACTGACTTGTGATCTGGGAAAGGGTATCTGCTCACTCTACCGTCAAACACGCCCTCGTCGTATGAATTTTCTGAGATCGGGCAGAAGTTGAATACCCAGAAGTCTTGACCGTGTCGCGCAGAGAGGAATCGCTGAACGTCAGCTCGACGATTGCGGTAGATACTTTCCAGTCCTGTCGCCGGAAAACCCATGACGATGATTTGGCTCGTCACGTAGACTAAATCTGAGCAAATTTCTCAGAAGTGTATTCTGGTATGATTGCGGGCGGGCTGGGACTTACCGAGATCTGTTCCGAGCTCATCGTCTATAAGGCGTGCTTTACCGCCAGAGACCAAGCGTCTGATATACATTGGCATCAATTACTTGGCTCTACGAAAAAGTACCCCTCTGGGGAAGAGAGACATGTGTGGCAGGCTGAAGCGTGACTATCAGTTTGTACGTGATGCAAACCTTACCACTGTACTAGGGTGCTCTAAGCACTGCAGCGCTCACCCACCATCTTACACTGTAGCATTTAATTGTCGAGCTCTTCATTGGTCATAACGACTTTCCCAGTGTTTTCAGTCTTTGCCTTTTCTAGATGGACATGGGTACGTCGATTGTCAAGAGAGAGTTGCCAATTCCGACTCATCGCCCTACCAACCCAAGATCAAAGTGTCTGGAAGTTAAACATCCACCAATGCCATATCTGCCATAGGTTATTTCCAACTACCGGTGGTTTGGCTTCTCATAGGAAGGCCAAGAAACACCTCTTCGTGTGTTCAATATGTAACCAGGCATTCGTAACTTCGGAGCGACTCGAAGGACACAGATCGGATGCCCATTCCCGACCTGGGTCTTCGACCGGAGAGACGTGTAGCAGTCCTTTTGATTATCAGTGCAACGAACACTCCAGGTCCAGCTCCGACTTCAGCGACCACTTGAGTTCGTTTCATAAGTATCCATGCCCTAAATGCGGCGAGCGGTACCCGTCCTTCACGGAGTGGAAAAGGCACCTTCAGGCCAAACACAATGCACAATCTAACGCCGCATCGGGGGCCCATGAAAGTGCTATGGGTCAACGTCTCTCTCTTATCTGCCGTGCGGATCGCCTCCATGAACAATTCAAAAGAGATGGTGCAATGGACGTCTTAGAAGAAACCATTACCCTTCGGCGAACTGTGCTAGACCTTACTCCTTTGGGACACCCAGCTCGCCGTCCGTATCTCATCAGCCTCGCGGATAGCGTCTATGAATGGTTTAGAGAGAAGGGTGCAAAAGAGGTCTTGGACGAAGTTGTTACACTTTGGACGAATGTATTGGGGCTTACTCCTCCAGGAAACCCAGATAGACGGTCAACTCTTGTCAATCTTGCTGATCGCCTTACGAGCGGTTCAGGAAAGCTGGTTCCATGGCGGATCTATCGGAGATTATCGCACTCCGACGAGTTGCATTAGTGGGCATGCCAGTCAATGACCCAAATCGATGCTCTTGTCTCGTGAACCTTGCTGATTGCCTTTATGAAAAATTCAAGACTGGTCGTGCTATTGTGGATCTAGATGAAGCCATTACACTCTGGCGAGCTGCGTTAAAGATCATGCCATCAGGTCACCAGGAACGACCTTCAACTCTCATCAATCTCGCGGATGGCCTTTACAAGCGATTCAGGCGGAATGGTTCCATGGCGGATCTATTGGAGATTATCACACTCTGGCAAGATGCATTAGCGGTTCTTCCAGCCGATGACCCAAATCGACGCTCCTATCTCATAAACCTCGCCGATTGCCTTTATAAAAAATTCAAGGCTGGCGGTGCTGTGGTGGATCTAGATTGCGCCATTACATTTTGGCGAGCTGCATTAGAGCTCATGCCATCAGATCACCAGGAGCGACCTTCAACTCTCATCTATCTTGCCGATCGTCTTGAAGAACGGTTCCAGAAATTCGGTTCTGCAGAAGACTTAGTAGATTCCATCAACTTTCGCCGAACTGCATCAGAACTCGCTTCACCGAGCAACCATGATTTTCCCTCCTCAGGACCCCTGACTATCCCTATGCAACCTGGACAAAAACCCTCAAAATGGGGGGCCCCCCGGATTCCACGTCCAGACAGTCAGGGGGGGATAGCTGGCTGACCTCTGATAGCCCATGCATCTAATAAAATTCAGTGGTACTGTAGTCTAGTGATGTACTGTATGTGTATGTTGTCTGTATCCTCTGCTGATTACGACTCGTTTTTTGATCCATATGTTTATGATAGACATCAGTTCATGGACGGCACCGCTGTCAAGGCGTCCCAACCTCATCTATGTCATTTGAAGTGGAATAAGTTAGACGTTGTCTCAAAATCCTTCCAAAGGCCTGATGAGCCGTGCAGGCCTGTTGGAGCCAGCATCACCTCACCTCGTACTAAACAGTCCCTTCCCCACAGCCAGCTCTCGGGGACCCTGCCTTACATTGCGATAACCCCCCTCCCCCCCGAGAGTGTGCGGAAACTGTACAGTGTACTTACTAACTAACTTACCATTCCCGAGGTTCCTCAATCACAGGCTCACCCTGCATCGTACAAGTTGCAGATATCAAGCTAATACGAAAGGAACTTGGTCATTCGAGTTACGTGTATGAAATTCATGCCTCTGGCTTGAGGCGTCTCGAGCTTTCCCTGTCGGTCAAGTTGAAGAGAGTTCAGACGCAAAGGTTCCATACGCTCTCATCCGTCCCTGGCACCGGAAACCCTTGATACACTGGTGGACGATGGCATCTGTGCCACGTGGGGTTTGTTAAATCAACTCGAACAACCATTCGGTGCGCTTCTCTTGAGGTGGTTTCCCCACAGTGAGTATAAGAGAATCGCACCCGATTGTACAATCACCGTTTGCATCAAGTATGTGGCTGACGTTGGAAACAGTAAACTCCAGACCTTTGGAGATCGTATAGCTCTGTCGATCTCTGGTACTGAAAATGTTTCGCCCATTGCCTAACTACGCTCTCTCCAACTTGCCATTAAGTTGTCGTTACTTCGAATAGGTACATAAAGAATCCCCTTTATTAAACTCACGAGACAAGAGGAGTATCGTACATGTAAAGTAGACAATATTTCTTAGTGGCATTACACCCCCTTACGTTATGGGGAGAACACCGATCAGTGGACACAACATGGAACCACTAACATTACACCTCTCCCTCTCTTTGCAACGCCGTAGCCTTCGTAGCTAGGTGAACAAACAGAGATGGAGAGATGAAGATACAGGTTAAGAGATCAAGAAGAAGAAAAGGGCAAAGGTGAGTAGAAAAGCGTAGATCACAAAGGAGAATGCGATCTAGTGTGTGGGGGGAAGGCCGCCGAACGCTATGCTCTGGAATCGAGCGAGCGTACCGAGACGCCGAGATGCCGAGACTGCACGTGCACAGAGCGGAAGTCACGTGACTGCGAGACTGAGAGATTGAGGGTGGAAGAGGTCACGTGACCCGGTCGAGGGAGGGATCGAAACGGAAGAGTGCGCGGAAACAAGCGGCGTGGCCTTCTGAGCGTGTAAGAGCGGGCGAGTGGAAGAGAGGAGGAGAGGCCACAGGACCGACCATAACCGAGCTAAGCTCACAACGGAAGTGGCCTCGAGACACCCCACACACTGGAGTTAAGCACAGGAGCAATCAGAATAGGATTCCTAGCAAACATATACAGAACAATGGTACTAGGAACAGGGAGCATCAAGAACGGGAAGGTACTGTACGGAGATTGGTACGACGAGCGAAATTGTCCATGATTGAATCGAGAGAAAGTAAACGGGCAGAGTCAGCAGATGAAGAAATGAAGAGAGGAAGTATGCTATTGATTTGACGCCAGTAATCTAAAAAGGCCTGCGATTTCCATCTTCCTTGAGTGGCGACCACGTCAGGAGGCACTCCTTGAAGTAAGAGTTCTGTAGCTCCCCCGATGCGAAAGGCGTGACCAGGCATATCAGGGAAGCCAGCAGAAACCCAAATCTGATTGCAACGGTTGAGAAACCAGGCACGGGTCATGGGAGACCAACCGGAAGACGTACGAAATGCGAAGAGAGGAGCGTCCGATGGAATGCCGAGACTGCCTGTGCAATGGTTCAATAAGGCTAGAAGGGGACAGGTGCGGTGATCACGAGAAGTGACAGAAATGTCCATGCCAAGAGAGAGGGTGGTCTTAGACCAGGGGATGTGGAAAGTAGAGTGACGCGTACCATTGTCTAATGAAGAGATGGAAAGAGGGAGGATTTGCCGGGAGACATGTTTAGATGGGTCAAAAACATTCTGGGAGGGAATGAGAAGTTCGCCAAGGCGACAGCAAGACCAAAATGCTACTGAGGCAAGAGCCCAAACAGACGCATCAAAAGTGTTGGCCAGATCCAAATGATCGTGAAGGATGCAGAGAGTCTCAATGGTAACAGGAGGGCGTTTGTCACGTTTGGAAGATGGGGGGACAAGTTTAGTGAAGCCTCTGCGAACATGGCGAAGCATGTCATCTCCGTACCAAGGGGCGCCGTTGACAATATGCCAAAAATGGAGGCCAGCAAGCCAGTTATTAAGTGTCTTTTCCGAGGTGTGTCCAGCATGATGTGCGGAAAAGAGGGAAATGATCTCGGGTGAGGCTGGCATGCGGGACTCCTCCGGGAGAGCGAATAAGTCACAGAATTGAGTAAAACGGAGAAGACCTGCTCCATAGTTGGAACGGGTGCTATGGTCTAAGGATTGGAGCATGACTTGAAAAAGGCTCTCGAGGGAGGACAAGAAATCAGCACCGTGGGGGGAAGACCAACATATGAGACGGTCACTGGCGACAACATGTGGATGCCATGGGGAGGGTTGGATGGAGGAGCCAGGACGAGGTCGACGGGGAGTTTTGGAATGGATGGTGCTTAAAGAGGAAGCGACCGTGCGACGAGAGAGGGAGTCGGCGTTAGCATAAAAGGCGGAGGCGGCAGCATCGAGGTCGACGTCTGAAAGGAACTCTTCAAGAGGAGAAGGGAGGACCATGCTGAAAGGAGGAGGCGATGGAGGAGTGGAGTGAAGGAGGGTCAGGGATGCGCGTAGAAATAGAGGGAAGGATGCCACGGGAAATCGGATCCGCCAAGTTGTCAGCAGATGGAACATAAGAGAAAAGAAAGTGAAGCTGTGCCTCGTGGGACAAGAGAGCCGAGCGGCAGATGGCTAGATTGGTCATGTAATTGCGACAACGACCCTTTTCGAAAGCAGCAATTGCACCTTGATTGTCACTGCGTATTAAGATGTCCGAGTGGGAGAAGCCACGGTTAATTACCAATTGGATGGCAAGTTCGATAGCGACAGCTTCAAGCCAACCAATATCACGGTGTGAGTCTCGCCAATGAGTAGCCAGAGGCCAGGCCATCCACGAGTCACCGAAGATGATACCGATTCCAAAATCAGTAGATGCATCGACCCAAATTTGCAGATCCAAGAGAGAAGAACGAGGTGAAATTGAACGTGGGGGTTGGGGGGAGCTAAGAAGATCGAGCCACCAGGAAAGATCGGAAACAACTGAAGGGCAGATGAAGCGAGGTTTAAACTCATCAGGGAATTCGGAGATCCAGTGATACAAAGGGGAGATGAACGAGCGAGCATGAGGGAAGACAAAGGAAATGTGGTTTAGAGTACCAGCTATCTTCTCAGCGTCGCACTTGAATATGCGAGAATTGTGAGAAGAGAGAAAGGTGGATAAGCGGAAGGTGTATTTGCGACGCTTTGACTCTAGGAGTGTAACTGATTTGTGAGGGATGTCCCATAGGAATCCGAGATACTCTATGGTATCACCAAAAGGCTGGCCTTTTTCTTTATGCCAAGGAACGCCTAAGGGAGTGATAATGGCTTTGGCATGTTCAAGGTCATAATCGTAGCGATAAACTTTGCCATCACAGATGCCTAGAAAGGGACCGGAAGGAGAAGGAGAGCGAAAAAGGTTGAAATCATCGACCCATTTGATAGACAGGCCCACGCCATGAGCATCCCAAATATCTACAACTGCGTCTGCGACTTCACCTTGGAGACCGGAGGCAGGAGAAAGTCCAAAAGGAAGAACATGGTCTAAAAAGAATTGATTGTCGAACATGACAACCAAGAAGCACTTATGATCGGGGAGAATAGGGATACCACGGTAAGCGGCTTCAATGTCAAGGGAAGCAGCTTGTGTGCCCGGTGGGGCACGAGCGATCTGAATGAACGAATGAGAACAGGGAATCATGAATGAGAGGAGCGATAGAAAGTGGGGGGCGAATGACGAATGTGTCATTGAAAGGCAGCCCAGAGAAGAAGAGATACGGAGGGGAAGTGTGCCTTCGAACCATCAGGAAGGACCCAGAGAGGGGACGATCCTTCAGGCAAAGTGCATCCACACCCAGAACTCCGAAGAGAGAAGAGGAGGGGAATGAGAGTGAAACTAACCAGAGAAGCGGCAAGTCCAGCTGAACCCCATCTAGTGGGAAACTCATCTGGGTCAATTTGGTCATTGACTGAAAGACCAGGAGTGCCTTTGTGGGAAAGGTTCCAACAGACATGAATCTTAGAAGGAGAACCTTCGACACCAGGTTTGACGACAATCTGGAAAGGTGACGATCTAAAGGGACCAATCTTGTGAAAAAGTTCGACAGAAGAGAAGGGTCCAGAGAAACGACCAAGAGAAAGCTCTTCATGAATATAAGTGCGGATGGCGTCGTGAAATTCAGCGATATTATGGTGGTTGGATGGGGTGTAAGAATGGGTAAGGGGAGGCAGATTGCCAATGGGGAAGCCATGGGTGAGTTTGAAAGGCAAATCCGGATATTGATCAAATAATTTACATGCATGGAGGAAGGAGTTGAATGCGAGTGCTGAATAGGGCGTGATGATGCAAGAGAAATCCAGATCCGAGTCATAGGGAGATGAGAGAATGTGAGGACAGCCAGAGAAGATGAAACGAGGAGGAAAAATGTCAGCTGGACGTAGAAAGGGTAAGGGAGTGTGGGATTTAGGCTGACTTGTGATTAGAGGCGCCATGGTCTCGGGAACCACAAGCGGCACAGAGATGTTGGTCAGGATGGTTGTCGCGACAGGGCTTCCTGGCAAGCTGATAGAAGAAACACAGTGGGGAATTGTTGTCACGACGGACAAGCTTTCCATCTCGAGATTTCGCAAACGTTTGTTGACCTTTCTGCGTAGTCTCTTCGTTGCAGGATGAGTATTTGTGGCCTGATCTGAGGCAAATGACGCAAGTGGGAGAGTTTCGCTGACCGTTCCGAAAGGAATCATCGGGGGAGTCATTACGAACTTTGCGGTTGTAAGGCGAAAAACGGTGTCCACAAGAAGACTTGTCTGTAGGAACAGTGGGGGCAGGAGGGGCTTGGAGGACGCTGACTTGTGTGTGGAGATATTTATTTTTGTATTCCTCAGTGGTGAGGAAGAAGTCAGGGTCAGATGCTGCAGTGGAGCGAACGTCCATGTCGAACTGAAGGATGGCTGGGAAGCGCTCGCGGAACTTATGAATATGCGCGAGAAAGCAAAAGTGGCAGGACCACATGCGCTTTGCAATGAGACCCTCTCGAGTGCCGATCCAATCGATATAGCGCTCCCAGGCTGAATGCCAGTCCAAAGGGAGCATCTCCTCTTCAGGAGGAAATTGGGTGACGTCGAGAATATGAACGTTCTGACCGTTCTGGTGAACCTTGACTGTTTTAACAGCGAGGGGTTGGTTCTGTAATTTATATAGAGCGTCATAGGAAAAAAGGGTTAAAGGTACATGGAAACCGGCATCGGCGAGGTTGTTAATAAGTTTGGGGATGGGAAGGCGCGTGCCGTCCGGAGAGAAAATGGGAGCATTGTCCGAAAGATCAAACGGGAGAGCACGTTGAACCTTGGACCAATGAGTTGAGGTTGGGGAGTTGCGGTGGTTCTCAAGCAAAGAGTCTAGCGCGAGCTGGTCTGAGGGGGGAAGCAGCATATATGCGGCCAAAATTTGCTGGGAGGGGTTACCAGCATTGCTAGCGGGCATAACCACCGAAGAAGGTGGGGGCTGAGTGGTATTAGCGGACGAAACAGGGGGAGCGGGGACTGAAATGGTGGGGTTGGCAGGGGTAGATGAGATTGGAACAGCTGCGGCTACCGGAGCAGAGGTGGGAGCAGCGGGAGCGGACTGTATGCCAAGGCCAGCTGGGACTGCGGGAATGAAGGGGATACCAGCAGGGGGGCCAGACATGATGTAGAGCGAAGAACTGAGGAGTATATGCGCGAGAACGATGAATGCTTGGATGAGAGACGACGAAGGTCGAAGACGAGAGAGGCGAGAGACGGGAGAAGTAATCTAAGTCTGAACGCGTCTTAGATTACATAATGTTCACGTGATCGCTACGAAGGCCCTGTTGACTGCGTCCAAGATCGCAGGCTCACTAGTTAGCAGTAAACGTCCATCTTATCAAGTGCGGGATTGGGGGTAAGATCGATAACAGCCATTTCGGGCATGTCAAGCTGCCTTGCTCTATCCTCTGAGTTCTCAGCATTCTGCGGAAGCTCCGGCAGGTTTGAGAAATGGACAGCGCTGAAGCGTACAGCTGACGGGGTACCTGCAGCCCGGGATCGAAGGTGTTCTCGGGAGTTCAATGATGCTAGAAGTGAATTGGCATATACTAATCAAATAGTTAGCTTGGGGGGTTCGTCCGGGATGGGAGACTGACACTTTGCCATCACGAAACTCAATCCCAGTGACCAGGTGCTTTGGTCCTCAACGGTCTGAAAGAAGTGAAGAACGACATAATTATAGTGCAACAATTCATACGTACGACTAAGAGGTCTACAATAGCAACTAGTCTTCAACGGAGAGTATGAATCAACTTATGGTCAGCGACCAAAGATGAATGAAACTTACGAGGACAGCAAACACCGGTTAACAGCATAAATAATAAGCGTGTTCAGGAGACGCTTCGTGCTAAAGCAGGGATTGCTAGGGATGTACCAGTGATACGGACTGGAGCCCACCTCGGGAATGCGGCGCCAGAACCACCATGATAGAAAAGTATGCAGAGTGACACCGTAATCAGAACCTCAGCTAGTGCGATCATGGCAAAAGCGGGCGTCACCCTCGCAAACTGGGAACAGCAGGTGAGCCGGGTACACCAGTTTCTCTCTTTATGGAACTACCTTAATCTGTGCAAGGATGCTGGCGCTGGGATCAACAAACCTATGCACAAAAAATATCAGTATTTCTGTGAACATGATTGATCAAGCTGGATTACTCCTGTGCGGATGCATCTGCTTTTCGATTAGAATCGGACTCACGGTCGAAGAAAGCACAAACCTATGCCAAGACCTGTGAAGCGTCGTCAGAAATGCATCATGAGCAGTGTAAAAAGACTCACCGGAGTGAGCGAGCACTAATAGTATCTATCATGTCACGTCGCTGAATGACATCTTTTCTCTCCCAGGTAAATCTACTCACAATTGGAACGGTCACCAACCACTTCACCCGAGGGCGGCAAACTGGATGACATCAATAAAGTCTCAAGAGGTAGGTATAAAAGGACCTACGGTAATATATTTGACGCACGAAGAAACTAGTAACATTCCATTTAGAAACATGCCATATCAAATGTTCACTTACCATTGAACCACAAAAATCAAGACTCCCTGTAATACAGCTAAATTTGATAAATAGATCGGGGGTGAAAGGAACACACATTCACCAGAGTCGACGACTAAGTTGGGAAAATGTCCATAATCAGTGCCTGATAGAAAATTGGGTACACGTACTGGTGATGACCTGCCATATATCATCAACAGGAAGCAATTTTGAAGTGGAGAGGAATACGAACCAGACGATATACTCCAGACTTGTTGGGACACCATAATTGGTTATCTGCGGTAGTTTGACCATGAGAATTACAAGGATTAGGCTGCTAGTTTCACCAGGTAATGATACAAGATATGACACACTAATCCGCCATCAACCATGCATTCACTTGTATGCAGATAACACTCACTGAACGAGACATGCAGAGTATCGAGAATCCTGACTTCCTGTGAACAGATATGATGGGTGTTTAGAGATGGCCTAACTCACCATACGGCAGCGACCACAGACTTCATGGTCGAGGCGTCATCAGAGTAGTGCATGTAATATATGTAGGTCTATGTGGCCGGTAAGTCGAGCATCACCCTGAACATTCCATTTAAAACACCCCTGGAGAGTTGTTGTGCCATAGAGCCTTGACACGGAAATAAGGATATTAAGGGGGGGAGATATGACAAGGTCAAGCAAAGCCGCACATACATGGCGGAAACCAAACCCCCGACGAGGGCCAAACCTATGTGAACAAATGAGTAGACAACTCTGTGATTGACTACAGAAAGTCTTCACCAAAATCATGCGGGATGTTCACTGACATATCGTTTGGGTGACTTGTGTAAGGGCCCGGGTCGACAAATTTGCTAACGGATGTGGATCGAGAGGGGATCGAGAGTAGCAACGGTATATTGATCTGGTGCAATCCTGCCATGTTTTTAAAGGACGAAGGCTGCATTCTCTAGTATAACATGAGAAACTTGCATCACCTCATGCAGCAAAGCCTCATTACACAACGAATCGGCTGTGTTTCGCAAGGTTTGAGGTTGTACAACGTTGATCGGATCCGTTTGCATTGGCTGACTACGTTACAGCGTAGCTCAGGTACAAACGTTAGGAGATACCGTGTCAGACTGCAGAGAGAACAAGGGATTACGTAGAGAAAAGATGGTGTAGGTTGGATGCAAGAGCATTACTAAGTGACACTTACGGGTAAGCGTGGGGTGAAGGACGCTGCACCTGTGCCCCACCTATACCCACCCCATATCCGCCTCGCCAAAAAGATGCACTGTCCATGTCAGCTGTGGAAGACGGGAGAGAGGCTGCGCGGTTGCTTGGCGCTCATGTGTAACTCTTTGAAATCCAAATCAAGTGTAAGTCGATGCGCCACATACTATGATGTGTGGCGGAGCGCACGAGAGCGCTTGAGCTGCCGAGCGCCCATACTTCAGCTAGACTCCATATTCGACTGTCAAATGTAGGTCTACAGGCTCCGCAATGCATTTTCTTTCCGTAACTCCGTATTAGCGCAAAACAGGAAGACATGTTTCAGGTCCTGGAGAAGAGGTTCCCTGTCCAGTGCTTCAGCTTTTGTTAATTCTACTATAGGAATACCACACACGGATAATCCCTTCCATGTTTCAAGCCCAAGTTCCTCAGCGAGGCTAATCTTTGAATGTCTCTAAAATGACGGTTTGCAAGCTGTGGCCCGCACTGAATTCAAATCACATTCAACGTTTCGTGGTCCAAAACACCCTCAACTATCCTCCTCACTTCCCCTGTCATTAATATCGCCGTGCATGTCCTCGTCGGGACTTGCAACCGCAAGAACACCTGCGTACATATAGACCATCTATTCGGCTATATCCGCCCATTTACCCGCGGACCATGGTATGATCCTGCCCCCTCTGACGTCTTTCGGCAAGCTCCACTTGCCAGTGCTTTATGTCTGCAGAGAACGCCCCGGGGGTCTCTTAGGTGAGATCATTTCACAGCCGGGAGATATTTTGGTACTGCACTGAAATCTGGGAAGCATCGCCTTTCCTTAGCTGTTTTCCTGCGTAGATCACACTGTATCAAACAATGACATGCCGCAATCGGCTCCGAGGGACGCGGCGATAAGCAATGACAATCCTCTCCAGAGTGCACGGAAACCGCATAGTACACCTACTAACTTACCATCTCCGAGGTTCCTCAACCGCAGGTTCATATTGCCCTGCATCGTACACTGGGTTACAAGTGTTAAGTTAATACGGAAGGAGCCTGCCCGTTCGTGCTACTTGTACGAAATCCACGCACCTGGCTTCGGACCTGCCACATTCTCCTATCGGTCAAGCTGAAAGCGAGTTCAGACTCAAATTTCCATACGTTCTCATTCTTCCCTGACACTCGTACTCCCTTGGTACACTGACAGATGATGACGATGTCATCCGTACCATGCGGGACTTGTTAAATTCGCTCGAGAAGCCACTCAATGCACTTCTCTTGATGCGATCGCCTCGTCATGAATATAAGAGGATTGCACCTGATTGTACTATCACCGCTTGCACCGAGGACGTGGCTACATTGGAACAGTGAACTTCAGACCTCGGAGATTATATCGCTCTGTCCTGTACCAATAATGTTTCACCCATAATAATTACTTGATGTCACACTGTTTAGGCTGCCGTTGTTTCGAACAAGTACATGATAAAGAATTCTCATTAGCTTTAGGAGACAAAAGGAGTATATGCATGTAGGTGTGGCGAAAGGACCGAGCAGCGGACGCATAGAACTACTAGAATTACACTTCTCCCTCTCTTTGTGACGTAGTAGTTATCGCAGACGCGTCGAACTGCCTTGCTCCATCCTTAGAACTCTGAGCGTTCCCCGGAAGTTTCGGCGGGTTCTCGAAGTGGATCGTACTGATGCGTAGATTTGACAGGGTACATGCATCTTTGGACCGAAGGTGTTCCCTGGAGTTCAGTGATGCTAGAAGCGAGTTGGCATATACTATTTATTTCAATAATAAGCCACGGTGTTCTGACATCGCTTGCAAGGAACGGGAGACCCACATTTTCCAATGATGAAATCCAATCCAATCGTCCAATCATTCAACTGATTAAGATTCTGAAGAAAGCGTAAGAGCAACACTGTCATCTTGCATTAAACCATGCATACCACTGTGAGCTCTGCAATAGTGACTAGTCTAGTACCAAAAGTCTGAATGCAAGTCACCGTTACAAACGAAAGAAGAATGAGACTTACAATGTCAAACAGCACCTGTTAATGGCATATATGATAAGCGTATCCATGACACGCTTCATTCTATGGCAGGGTTCGTTAGGTATAAACCACTGGCATGGACTAGAATCACCTTCGGAATGCGGAGCGAGAGCGACTGTCATAGAAAAGTATGCAGAGTGACACCGTAATCAGAACCTCAGCCAGTGCAACGATGGCCAAATCGGGTGCCTCCCCATAAAACTAGGAATAATGAGTGAGTCAGTGCGCCAGTGTATCTTAATGGAACTACCCTAATCTTCGTAAAAATGCTGATGTTGTGATTGGCAAATCTATGCACGGAAATCAGTATTTCTGTGAAGATAGTTGGACAGCTTGATGTACGTCAGAACAGTTGTTTCTGCTTCTTCATTAGAACGAGCCTCCTGCGATGGCAGAAAAACACAAACCCGTGGCAAAGCCTGTTGAAATGTCATTATGGATGCCTCGCGAACATAATCTAAATAAACTCACCAAAGTGAACTAGCACTAATAGTATCTATCGCATCCATGTCACTGGATGATTACTTTGCCATCAAAAGGAAACATACTCACGATCGGAGTAGTCACCAACCACTTCACTAGCGGGCGCGGGCGACAAACTGAATGCTGATCAATAACATCTTGACAGGCAGGTTGAATGTGACATACGGAAATATATTTGACGTGCGAAGAAACTGGGAACATTCAGTTTATGAGCGCCGACCCACAGAAGGGAAGAACTTACAATTGAACTAAAACAATCACAAGTGACTGAAATGCAGCTTGATCTCGTCAAAAATGATTTCAAAATGGAAGGAACGCACATTCACCATACCCGACGCCTAAGTAGTGAAGAAGTTCTAAGTCAATGCCTAGTAGAAAACTGAGTATACATACTGGGAATGACCTATGATACCTCATCAGTGGGATGGAGCTTTGAAATGGAAGGCATACAGACCAGACAATATACTCCAAACTCGTTGGAACGCCATAATTGGTTATCTGCAGTGGTTGAGTATAATAGTTACAGGAGTAGAGGCATCAGTTTTACCAGGTAATAATACAAGATGTGACACACTAATCAGTCGTTAACCATGCATTCACTTGGCAGCGCCAAATACTCACTGAATGAGACATGTAAGGTATCGAGAATCCTGACTTCATGTGAACCAAATTAACGAGTCCCAAGGTGGCCGAACTCACCATATGGCGGCAACCAGGAACTTCATGGCAGTAGAATCCTCAGGCTCGGAGCAGTGCATGAAATACACATAAGTCTACATAACCAGTGAGTAACGCACTAGCCTGAACATTCCAGTTGAAACTCCCCTGGAGAGTTGTTACGCCATACAACCTTGACGGGAAATAAGGACATCAGAGGGGAGAAACGAGAGGTCAAGCAAAGCCATAAATACATAGCAGAGACCAAACCCCCAATGAGGGTAACACCTATCGCGAACAGATTAGCTGGCCAGACCGTGTTTGGCTATGAAAGCTCTTCACCAAACCCGCCCAGGGTATCCATGTTGTTGGGTACTAACTTGTGTGAGGCGAACTCGTTGACAAACTTGCTGCGGGTTGTGGACTCGAAGAAGCGAGCTAGGATGGAGAGGGCGTATTGATCTGATAGTGGAGAAATCTTGCCCTGTTTTTAAAGGACGAAGGTTGTGGAAGGCTGCATTATCATGGTTTGGAGGCCTTGTCATCGTCTGAGCAACGATTCTTACTAGTATGGAAACCCGAAGGCAAGGGCTAATTTCAATAATCTTACCATTGCTGTAGTAGCACACAGCCTTTCATACGACCATTGGTTCGGTAGAAGGCACTGCAGGTATAATATATCGTCCTCAGGAGAGCTGAGACATAGCTGAATGCAGCGGGACCAAGATGAAACCATTTCATATCAGTGAGCAATGGGCATAGTTTTCAACCCTACACATCTGATTTGGTATTGGGCGCATTGGCGTGGAAGGTGATGCAAGGCCCAGTGCTGGTCATAAAATGATACTACTCCGCACATGTGGCTCAAGCACTCACCTCTGGTGTCATAATGCCAAGTGATCGCCGTCGATTGGCCATATCAACGCTCCGGCAACATCGGATGAATTGTCCATGATGTGCAAATAGGGAACATGACCTGCCAATGGGTTCCTTGGCGTATCGTCATATCTGCCGGTTCAAACACTCACCGGTCACCCACATGCCGCCATCCCTCCAATGTCTTTCGGATGGCACGTTGTGCTCGAGTTTCAGCCAACACACCGCTCGTACACACGGACCGCCGTTGGCCCGTTATTGGTACAGGACCGCAATGTACCATGTGACCGTGTTGTCCAGGTCTTGTTCGACTACTCTACACGCTTACGTATTCCCCGTGCCTATATTGACGAGCATCCCCTTACATCAAGACGCCATTGGACATCATGGAAAGCAACACAGACTTCGATTTCTCTGCAACAGATTCACCAACCTCGATACTCGACCCAATTGGCAAAGAGACATCCATCCCATCTGGATAAACCGTTGGCAACCAGTTCATCTCATTTAGTGCTGGGGCAGGGTGTGTCTATCCCACTCAGAGGATTGTTCCTGGCAACGACAATCGTGAAGGACACTGAAACATGTCTGATTTGTAGTGAGATTTCTGAGAGGCTACAGCGCCGCATTCCAGAATGTGCCAAGGCACGCGCTCGCGATCTGGGTTGCGTACTAAGCTGCGTTGGGGCTCGTTCCGCGAGGCGTTGTGAAATGATCTACCCTAACCCCACGTTGTCCAGAGAACACAGGAAGGGGCACGGTTCAAGTGTGGAAGGTGCGTTTCCCTGATTCCCTTAAGCATTGACTGACAAACAACTGTAGTACTACATAGGAGCCCGTTGTGGCAGAATAACGGGTCGTACAAGCCTCCGTCACCGGATGAAACTCGGTATTTCGAATCGAATGAAGACTGGGTCGCTGGCAAACGAGAACGGCGCCAGAATTCATGTCAACCAGTGGCAGCGCCTCTCCGCCGTATTCTCAAACCTATAGCGGAAGAGATAATTGCTGTTACGTGGTTAGCATTTTCACTCCCATGCGAGGTCGTACCGAAGAACTAGTCTGACTGCACCGAGTTTGCGTTAGAGTAGAAATTGACCAGTGTCATTGACCTCCCCAACAGCAGACCCAGTGGTATGTCCAAAGCGCACAACGGGCGCCGCGGCCCGTTGGGAAACTCACGGGGTATCCACACATAGGGGAGTTAGCGGGCCACAGAGCTAGTTAATCACTAGATAGGATAGCGCGATGACCATCGCATGTGACGTTTCTACCTTCCACACTCACCGCCTTCATTTCGGGCTAGTATCGGTCTGTCATGGTGGACATGGGGGGTCTTGTATTAGTTCGGATTCACTGCATCACCTTGTCACCTAGATGCACGACGTATCGGCGCTTCAGCAAGATTTGAAATAAACTTGAGATTTTTGAAGTCCTAAAACATATGATCAGATCAGATTACAGTATTGGGCGGCTCAGATGTAAGAACTACAAATCCTACAACAACGGACTCCAAACCTCTCCACGAAACAGAAATCGCTGGATGACGTACTCTGTACAGGTCATAGAATGGGCGCATGGAACTGCTAGTTGAATAGCACCTCTTCCTCTCTTCGTGACGCTGTATTTTTTTTCAAGTGCAGGAACGGAAGTGGTATCAATGACAGTCACCTTGCGTACGTCGAAATGCCTTCCTCTGTTTTTTTTTTTTTTTTGAACTCCCCACCCCTCCAGAAAGGTGCGATGTGTTCGCGGGGTGGGTAGTACCGATGCTAGGAATTAGCAGGATATCTGAAACCTGGAGTCGAAGGATAAAGACAGTAGTTGCAGGAGACGATTGGATCAATGTTCTCTTGGTATCGTCGACCCTCCATAGCCATTGTGTATCTCTCCGACCAACACTGATTCGTTTGCTGGTAGTGTTTGGTTCAATCAGGGTTGGACCCTCCAAGAGCTACTGGCTTTACCCACGATGTTGTTCTGTACGCAAAACCGATCGCTTTAGAGGAATCGTACTTGTTCGGATGATAAAAGGGATGGAACCATTCTCGCAGAACTCCAATAGGCTACTGGGATGGCAGCTCTGGATCTTACAGATTTCTAACTGGGCGTGGAGAACGTGAAATCAAAGGCTCCAGTGGGCATTAATGCATAGTACCACCCGGCTAGAAGATATCGTTTACTCACTATTTGGCATTTTCAAGCTCCATTTTCCAGCGCTTTATGGAGAGTCTGCGGAGAATGCCATTGGGCGTCTCTGAGGCGAGATCATTGGAGATGTTCTGGTCATGCACTGGGTTGAGGAAGCAACGTCTTTCCACGGCTGCTTTCCTACCAACATCAAGCATTCATACCTTGCCACAGTCGCCTCCGACGGATCCTGCCTTATAGTGACAACGGCCTCCCGAGAGTACCCGAAATCCCTTGATACACCGGCGGATCTTAGGGGTTGTATAGCTCTGTCCCTAGCACCGTGAAACGCGCTCTCCGATCTGCCGTTAGTTTACCACTGTTTCGAATAGGTGCATAAGGAATTTCCTTCGTTAGCCTGGCAAGACAAGAAGAGCATCGTGCACGTAAGGTGACATTCCATAGCGGCATTACACTGATTATATTGTAGCAAAAACACCGAGTAGTAGCATGGAACTACTAATATTACACCTCTCCCTCTCTTTGCAACACCATAGTCTTATCAGGGACAGGATCAGTGGTAGTATCGGTAACTGCCACCTCAGGCACGATGAACTGCTTTGTTCCATCCTTAGAACTCTCAACGACCCCCGGAAGCTTCAGCGGGTTCGCGAAGTGGATAGTGCTGACGGGCAGATCTGGTAGGGTACCTTCATCTTTTGATCGAAGGTGTTCCCTGGAGTTCAGGGATGCCAGAAGCGAATTGGCGTATACTGCTTATTCCAATAGTAAGTGGGGGTGTTCTGTCCAATGAACGCCCACAGGGCATGGAAGACTGACATTTTCCAATGATGAAATCCAACCCAATCGTCCAATTATTCAGCTGATCAAGATTCTGGGGAAAGTATGAGAGCGACACTGCCATCTTGCAATAGGACATGCGTACCACGGCGAGCTCTGCAACAGTGACTAATCTACCACCAAAAGCCTGAATGCAAGTCACAGTTACAAACGAGAGGAGGATGAAACTTACAATGTCAAACAACACCTGTTGATAGCATATATGATAAGTGTGTGGAAGAGACGCTTCGATCTAAAGCAGGGTTCGTTAAGGATGAACCACTGACATGAACTGATATCACCTTGGGAATCCAGAGCGAGAGCCACCATCGTAGAAAAGTACGCAGAGTGATACCGTGATCAGAACCTCGACTAGTGCGACGATGGCCAAAGCGGGTGCCACGGCGTAAAACTACGAATGACGAGTGAGCTGGTGTACCAATGTCTCTCTTGACGGAAGTACCCTAGCCTGTGTAAGGATGCTGAATTGTTGATTAATGAACCTATGCACGGAAATCAGTGTTTCTGTAGAAGTAATCGGGCAGGTTGGAGTACATCAGAATAGCTGTCTCTGGTTCTTGATGAGAATAAGTCTCCTGCGGTAGAAGAACTGCACGAACCCAAGGCAAACCCTGTTGAAATCTCGTTATGAATGCCCCGTGAGCATAAGAAAAAACTCACCAAAGTGAACTAGAATTAATAGTATCTATCGTGACCATGTCACCAAACGATAACTTTGCCATCATCAGCAAATATCACTCACAATCGGGGCAGTCACCAACCACTTCACTCGATGGCGACAAACTGAACGCCGATCAACGATATCTCGAGAAGTAGTTCAGGCGTGACATACGGCAATATATTATGTGTGCAAATACACTGGTAGCGTTCGGTTTATGAGTGTCAAGCCTTAACAGATGGTTACTTACCATTGAACTATGCAAACCACGAGTACCTGCAATACAACTAAATCTTGTCACAAACAGTTTTAAGACGGAGGAACGCACATTCACTAGAAGCGACGCCTAGGTGGTGAAAACATTGCAAATCAGTGCATTGTTGAAGTTTTGGCTTGCGTACTGGGAATGACCTGCGATACCTCGTCAGTGGGGTGAAGGTTTGAAGATGACGCCATACAAACCAGACAATACGCTCCAAACTCGTCGGTACGCCGTAATTGGTTATCTGCAGCGATTGAGGACGAGGGTCACAAAGAGTAGACGTATCAGTTTTACCAGGTAGTAATACAACATGTGGCAGACTAATCGACCGTGAGCCATGCATTCACTTATATACGCCAAATACTCACTGAACGAGATATGTATAGTATCAAGAATCCTGGCTGTGTGTGAGCAGATTTGACCAGCAGCCGAAGGTAGTCTATCCAACTCACCATATGGCAGCAACGAGGAACTTCGTGGTAGGCGCATCCTCAGCATAGTGCATGTAATACACAGAAGTCTATATGACTGGTAAGTGGAGCGCTAGCTCCAACATTCCGTTTACAACGCGCCTGGAGAGTCGTTATTCCATACAACCTTGAAGCGTAATATGGACATCAGAGGAGAGATGGGCAAAAAATTAAGCAGAACATTACGTACATGGCGGAGATCAAACCCCCGATGAGGGCAGAACCTATGCGAACAAATGAACAGACATGACTGCATTTGACCACGAAGATATTCACCGAACCCGTCGGGGATGCCCATGTCGTTTGAGTAACTTGTATCAGGGAAGCTCAAATTTGGTGCGGGGTGTGGACTCGAAGGAACGATCGAGCGTGGAGAGGGCGTATCAGTAGCAAACCTGTCCTGCTTTTTAAAGGTTGGGAGCTGTACCAATATGATCGGGATAACTTGTGTTGCCTCAAACACTAGCATATGGAGTATATGTTTGATCCCCGACTCCCGGCACAGCTCTTCTAGGCCTCGGAGGAAGCACAATATATCAACTTGGAGCCTGAGACGTAACCAGGAAAATACTGAATGCCGGGGGTTCCTTTACTGATGAACTGCTAGCAGCGAGAGTGTGAACGACATTACAAGTCTGCAAACTTCAAAGCCATATGTCACGGGAGCAAGAACAGACTCTACTCTAATTGTTGTTGCCGAATTCTAATATTCTATGCACAGAAACCAGTATTTCTGTGAGGATAGAGTTGGACAGGTTGGAGTAAGTCTTAACAACAGTCTCCATGATGGAAGAAAAGTGCGAACCTATGCTGAATCCTGTTTTCCACCCACATTCACCCAGACGATTTACAGATTGCAACCGTGACGAAAGGTCTCGATGTCAAGTTCCGCATTTGGAGCACGGAACCAAGTCCCAACGCCGCCTCAGAGAATTCAGGACATCCACCAGAATCACTGCACCCTGAGCATGTGGCACACCGCAGACCCGGCTGTGTGCTTCTTTTGATGCAGTTGCCTCACAACGAGTATAAAAAGATCGCACCCAACTGTACAATCGCCACTTGTGTCAACTGATCAATGGCTTGCATTAGAAACAATGAACTTCGGATCTTGGAGATCGCGTAGTCCTTTCCCTCGTACTGAAAATGCTTCACCCGTTGCCTAATGACATACACTACGAGCCCTAACCTGTCGTTATGTTGTCATTGCTTCAGCTAGGTGATATTTCATAGCGGCCTTAGGCCGCTGTATGTTGTAGCGAAGGCAGTGGCGGACGCGTAGAAGTAATACTAGAATTGCACCTCTCCCTCTCTTCACTGTGCCGTAGTCTCTCGAGTGCAGGAATGGCAGTGGTATCGATGACAGTCACCTTGTGCACATTGAAATGCCTTTCTCTGTTTGTTGAACTCCCCACCTCTCCAGAGAGCTGCGATGTGTTTGCGGGGTGGGTAGTACCGATGCTAGGAATTGGCAGGGTACCTGAAACCTGGTATTGAAGGGATTGCCGGGTATTCAGCGATGCTAGAAGGGAGTTGGGTTATACTGGTCATGGTAAGTTAGGGTGTATGCCGTCCACCTGCAAGGCACAGAAGACTAATACTTTCCAATGATGAAGTCCAATGCCATCGACCATGCAGCTAGGTCACTAACATCCTGAAGGAAGAGTGAGGGCAGCATAGTTGTCTTACAATAGGCCGTACGTACCACGGCGACCTGTGCAATAGCGACTAGTCTACCACGAAGAGCCTGAATCAGTTCACAGTTACAGATCAGAGGAGCACCGAACCCATGAAGTCAGCAGACACCGATTAACAGCGTACATGATAAGCATATTCAAGAGACGCTTCATTCTAACCAGGGCTCGTGAGGAATAAACCACCGATATGGAATGGAGTCACCTTGGGGATGTAGAGAAAGAGCGACTGTCATAGAAAAGCATGCAGAGTGACACCGCAATCAAAACCTCAGCTAGTGCAATAACAGACTCAGCAGGTATCACGGTGTAAAACTAGGAATAACGACTTGTGAGTCATTGCACCAATTTCTCTGTTAATAAAACTACCCTAGCCTGCCCAACAGAGCTGGTCTCGTTGTTGACGAGCCTACCTGCAAAAATCAGTGATTTGGTGAAGACAGTAGGAGAGGTCGAAGTATGTCACAACAACTGCCACTACTTCTTGATTAGAATAGGTCTCTCATGGTAGACAAATAACACAAACCTCTATGCCAAACCCTGTTGAAACTATTGTGCAGAGGCATGGGACAGGGCAAAGAGCAAAGACAGAACACTTGCCTTTGTATTTGATTGAAACAGTAGATTTAAGTAAGGTTTGTAGTTGTCTTGTTAGATGATAGAACAGTAAATTGTTTTATGGGGAGTAAGGCAGAAATCCCTGAGTTTATATACATGTAGACCTACACATGGACCAGTAGCATAAAAGGAGGGTGCTACAATGTAGCTACTATAAATGGTATGGAATAGTGGAGAATGTCATGGAATATGATGTATGGAATGATGTCAGAATGACATCATTGTGGAGCTGATGAGCAAGCATGTCATGTGACACAACACATGTATCAAAATGTGTAAGTCTAGATGTGTCTAGACAGTTGGAACTATTATTATATTTCCAACACTCCCCCTTGCACTAGAATGGGAGATTAACAAGTCCCATTGATGAGTGATTTGTTTCAAATTTTTGCCATGTCAATGATTTAGTAAGACCATTGGCTTTTTGTTTGTCAGTTTGAACATATTCAATACCCAACATGCCATCTTGTACACATTCACATACAAAGTGCCATTGAATGTCAATATGTTTTGAATGTCCATCTGAGACTGGATTCTCAGCTATAAAGCAAGCACCCATATTATCACAGTATAAAATGGTCTTTCCAGTTTTAAGCTTAAATCCATCAAACAGCATATGAAGCCATTTGATTTGACATGCTGCATCACAGAGAGCCATATACTTGGCTTCTGTGGAAGAGAGTGCAATTGTCTTCTGTTTATGTGACTGCCAAGAAATAAGTGATGTTCTGAGGAACATTGCATAACCAGTAGTCAAATGTTGAGTATCTTTATTTGATGCCCAATCAGAATCAGCAAAGCCAAAAATCTGTGACACAAGTCTCAAATAGTATAGTGCAAGTTTTGGAGTAGATGCAATATAGCAAACTATATGCAATGCTTTGTTGCAATGATCCTCAGTGGGATTTGCCATGTATTGACTCATGCATATAACAGCATAAGCAATATCAGGATGAGTACCAAGTGTTACACCTCAGCCAGGGGCCTTTCCTTTTTTGGCTTCTCACGGTCACATGCATCACGTGCCTTGTTGTGTCCCTTGTAATCATTGCTGTCCTAGGGGTTAGAATGCTCCAGGGAATGCTTGGATCTCCAGCTGTCAAGGTATTTCCAATACCTGTTGAGACTGTGTTGCCTCTGTGATCTGGTATTCCACCACCCTCTCTGATGGACAACATGTTCCATTCTTGCTCTGTCTATGTTTTCTGACTCGTTTATATTGCTCACATGTTGTACTATAGTTCTGGTGTCAGGCTCCTCGCTGCACATTGATTGCACCAGCCAGTATAGCCTTCATTACCTCCCTACCCTATCAAATGACACTGTATGACTCTTATTTATTTCACTGATCAGTTTGTTGATGACTGCAGATACACGTTGTGACATGTCCATCATGACTGGTACAGTACTTGCACTTAGGAGTATATAGTCCTATGTACCTTGTCCTGTATCTGCAGTTTTTCGATAGCTTGCAACTGAGCTTCATCCCTTTGCTTTATCCTCAATTCTCTCTCCACACGAACAACCTTAGGGACTTGCCAGTAGACAGAACCTCTGTCAGATTATTGCAATAACTCAGCCATAGGGGTTATGACAAGTTCAGCCCACAGTCTCCCACCTCATGCACTTCATGCCTATTCCATTTGAAGAAGTCACCATGCTCAGGCATAACACCAAGGGCCATATAGAGAAGAGACCCAATGATAGACTGGTACTGAGAATAGAGTTGGGAAGTGGCTTGGTAATCTGATGGTCCTTTTTCCAGTTGGTATCCCAAAGGTAATGGAGTGTGAACATTTTGAGCAGTCTCCATATTAAACCTTTTGATGATCTTTTTGACATAGGGAATGTGATTGAGATAAAGTTCTTTCTGTTAGATTTGGCAAGTTGCTCATAGCCTTCATTCACTAATTGATGCTACTTTTCCTTACCATGGGAAACACTTCCCGTTTACGGGTCTACAAGATGTTACGCTTCCTTCAGGGGTCCTACCTTTTTTGGCTTCTCGTGATCACGTGCGTCACGTGCCTCGTCGCATCGCTGGTAGTCGTCATCGTGTTGGGAGTATGTATGATACGCGGAGAGTTCGGATCACCTGCTGTCCAGGTATTTCCAATACCTGTCGAGACTCATCACCTGTGATCTGTGACGTTCACCGCTCTTCTGATTGACGACATGCTTCTTTCTTGCTCCGCTGACTTTCTCTGACTCACCTTTATTGCTTGGATGTTGTACTATAGATCCGGAGTCTGGCTCCTCGCTGCGCGTTGATCGCGCAGCCGGTATAGCCTTCGTCGCCATCCCTATCCCCATCGTTGACTCCGGATGACTCTTATTTATTTGACTGATAGCTTTGTTGACTACTGCGGATACGTGTCGCATCGCGTCACGCGCGACTGGTACGGTACTCTTACTTAGGGGTATTTAAGCCTGCGTATCGTACCTTGTATCCTCAGTTTTTCGATAGCTTGCAACTGAGCTAATTACTTTGCTTCGATCTCTGTCTTCTCTCCGTGCCAGTCAACCTTAGGGAACCCGCCAGCAGACAAGACCTCTGTCAGATCTTCGCAATAACTCAGCCATAGGGGTTACGACAAGTTTGGCCTGTAGACTCCCACCTCGCGCGCTTCGTGCCTATTCCATTTGAAGAAGTCACCACGCTCGGGCATAACAAAATCGAAAAACTCAACGCAGCTTTTGGGACTCGTCGACCTCTTCGAGAAAGTCTACTTGTCCCCGGTTACTGAACTTCAACAAACCAATCCCTCTGTTCAACAAAGGCTCGTCGGTCTCCCTACGTGTAAAGACTAACTCGCCTTTTCGCCCGCCTCTCAATTCGACTTTAATAAGTCGATAACAAGATTGAGAAACACCCCTCCACTCTTAACCAGATACACCGCTCTACAGGCAGCCACTAGGCTTTAATAGATCGCCTCCCTAGAGTCAGCACTCGTTGATCCCTACGCGTAAATCAACACGTGCACCATCCTTAAACTGACAGGTTTCTTTCGAGAAATAAATCCTCCCTCAGTTCTCGTTGTCACTATTCGTCAAAGTGTCAAATCCTTCAAAGTCGAGACCTCCTGTCCCTCCACGTAATACCCCGTTAGGGCTAGGAAGGAACCCGCCTTTACCGCCGATACCGGGAAGACTTGGGCCGTCAGCCACAGCAAGTAACCCCCGGTTGTCTTATCTATCCTGTTTTAGGGAATCGGAAATCGCGCTTAGTTCAGAAGAAGAAGACAATCAGAAGTCCGATACTTCTTTCAGATCAGTCCTCAAAGAAGAACAAGAAGCATGTGTAAAACCTGAAATGTCCATGATGATCGGTCACGGAGAATCAGCCCCTGAGATGCCGCCGAAGGTATACTCTGAAGCGGAGCTGAAGGAAAAGTTGGAAAGACAGATGCACTCTTTGGCAGAGGACTGGCGGAAGATCGCTGGTCAGGGTCAGTCGAGTGATCCCTTCCCAACAGGAACGCCTACGGACACGGCTCTACGAAGCTGGTACGCCAGAAGTTTTGGAAAGGTCGTTCCCCCAGAGGCCCCCATTAGTGGGACCA